GGTGCGCATAGACTGTGCTAGTAGGCGCACAAGTAGCGACACACAAAGGCTCTAACTCCTGGTGCCCGCCCCCGCCACTCCCGCCAGCTCCACTACGACCCTCATTAGCTACAGTGGTGAGGTCTGACAGCGCAGGGAAGGTAAGAGGCAGCGCAAGACAGCCTAGGACTGCAGGAGGGGGGGGGAGTAGCGCCTAACCACAGTGGAATACAAAACATGGGCCGACGGCACCTGACTCCTGGGGAAGAAGGCTCGCTGGTCGAACGAGAGGTGAAGGCGGACTGCAAGTGAGGCGGCAGCGTCTCGCGCCATCCACCGGTTGTAGGCAAGGTGAGCTGCGCGGAACTGCGTCCGCTCCTCCTCCTCAGCGTCAGCAGTAGGTTCAGCAGGAGCCTCTGGGGCCAGAAGGGACCCCGACGTGTGCTCGAACAGGGAGACGTTGTCCCGTTTAACACTCCGGAGGTACAGGTGCGGCCCCTCTAGCCAGGAGTCAAACCCTAAAGGTTGCCCCACTGCGTCAAAGGCTAGAACAGTGGGAGTCGCCATAGCAGCACGAACGGCAGCAAGCAGCAGGAGTGGCAGTTACGGCAGCAGCGGCAGCACAGGTGGCAGCAGCAGCGCATGCGGCAGCAGCAGCCTAGCGGAAGCAGCAGCAGCTGAGCAGTAGTAGCAGCGCAGCAGTAGCAGCAGCGCAGCAGGAGCAGCACAGGTGGTAGCAGCAGCGCAGGCGGCAGCAGCAGCCTAGCAGCAGCAGCAGCTGAGCAGTAGGAGCAACGCAGCAGTAGCAGCAAAGGTGGCAGCAGCAGCCTAGTAGCAGCAGCAGCGGCACGAGTGCAGGGGGCAGGGCAGCACTAACGCACGGAGCAACTCGGCTCAGCAGGGCGGCTCGAGCAGCAGCAGCAGGTTAGCAGCAGTGCAGCAGCAAAGGCACGGCAGCCGCGCGTGCAGGGCAGGGCAGCCGCGCGTGCAGAGCAACAGCGCAGCGCAGGGCAATAGAAGCAGTGCAGCAGCAGCAGCAGCGCAGGCGGCAGCAGTAGCTTAACAGCAGCAGCAGCGCAGGCGGCAGCAGCAGCTTAACAGGAGCAGCAGCAGCTTAACAGCAGCAGCAGCGCAGGCGGCAGCAGCAACTTAATAGCAGCAGCAGCGGCAAGGAGGAGCAGCTGCAGCAAGTAGCAGCAGCAGCAGCAGTAGCAGCAGCAGTAGCAGCAGCGCACGGGGCAGCAACAGCTTAGGCGGCAGCAGCAGCAGCTGAGCAGTAGGAGCAGCGCAGCAGTAGCAGCAGCGCAGCAGCCCACAGAAGGGCAGGGCACGCTCGAGGCAAGCGGCAGCAGTAGCTTAGCAGCAGCTGCAGCGCAGCACAGCAGCAGCAGCAGCGCAGGCGGCAGCAGGAGCTTAACAGCAGCAGCAGCGCAGGCGGCAGCAGCAGCTTAACAGCAGCAGCAGCAGCAGCTGAGCAGTAGCAGCAGCGCAGCAGTAGCAGCAGTCGGCGCACAGCAGCAGTAGGCACGCGCGGGCTGTGGGCTAGCAAACCAGGGGCGCGCAACAGGTGCGCGCGGAGCAGCTTAAAACCGGCGCGCAGCAGGTGCGCGCTAGGGGCTGGCGGGCAGCGTGAGTGGCGCGCGCAGCAGCAGGAACGAGGGGGGACCGGGCGTAGGGGCTGACGGGCCGCGCGAGTGGCGCACGGGGCAGCTAGGGTGCGGTCAGGAGGGGTCGCACTTGACTAGGCAGAGGAATCGCGCCTAGGGCAGCTAGGGGACGGGACGCTCCTAAGGCAGAAAAACGTCTCGCCTAAAGCACGTTTCGCATTTCGCGTTTCTCCTAGGGGCGTGACTCGGGCAGCAGATCGAAATTGGAGTGGTGGGCCCGTTTAAAAATTTGGTCCTAAGGACCATTTCGCTCTAAATACCATGTTGAGATTAGCTAGGAAGGAATGAGGATTAGGTAAGAGGGAGGGGGTACAAGAAGTGTCGAGCAATTTACTATACCCCCGAAGGCTAAACCCACTACAGCCTAGATAACAGTAAACATATAATTTGACAGCTTGTAGTCCGTACAAATTCGGTCCTAATTACCTGCGTCGACACTCGAAATGTTGTCGCTTTTCTGGGTGATAATGACGGCGCCAGTACTATGGAGGTACGCAATATACACGCTACGGCCGTGTGTCACTGAAATACAACGCTAAGCAGGCCTCGCTCTCTTTTGCACGTCTCACCACCGCATTTTACGCTCCCTTTGCTATTCGGCGTTTGGTGCAGTATCCTTAGTGCTACTGAGGTTATCACTGGGTGGCGTGCAACCCAGGACCACTTTGAAAGCTCTGGGGTGGGCCCGCTGGTTCAGTCGTGCTCGCTACTGCCCTCTTCATATTTTCTGGTGGCCCTGTTCTCTCGCGCGAGTTCGTTTCGTAAACTCAACTCCGCTCTTGGCAGAAATTTGTAATCGCTCAACTGTCGCACATAATTGCTGTCGCTTTTCTTGGAATGAATTGGCGAAGAGGCCCACCAATCACTGTGTTCGCATTAGTTCCAAGACCTCGCTGTCCAATCACCTTAGAGTCTTCTTCCTTTCTGCCCGGCTAAATAAGTTTTTGATGAATAGTTCTCCCATTCATGTGGAGGTTAGAGCACCCTCCCGAAACAGTGCCACACTTTCAAACTGGGCCTCCCTTCACTATTTTGCCTGCTCGCTTTAAAGCTCGCGTCTCATATTTCTGTGTCCCAACCAAGTGTTAAACGCTTGGTATCCGGTAACCCTCAAACTGTCGCACAACTCCACTGAAGGTTGGCCCAGGTTGAAACGATTGGTTGGGAACCTACAAACTTGCTTGGCGGTATGCGCAGGGACGTGCCAAACCAATCATGCGATCGTGCACCCAGGTAGGTTTGGAAAACACACCTGCACGGGGACAACACGATCGCCCAAACTCCCCCACCGGCGACCAGGTTGTCGCACGAATCAAGCATTTACAACAGCTGAAAAATATGAGACTGACAGAACTCAGAAACCCGATTTCTCACTAGCACTAGGCTCAGGTTCAAGAGTAAAACTCTTTCCACTAGCAACCGCGGTTACCTCTTACACAAAAGTTAGATTCTCGTTGATCAGCATATACGGCCGACCTATAAACTTGAAATTAGGTCTTCATTTATCAGTATCAGCGGCGACCAGGGTACATCCCGTGCTTATCGTGAACCATGTCCAGGTAATGAGGCGCGCCAGGTAAGGGACGCGATGGGGCAGGACGGGACAGTACGGGAAGCGACGGGACTGGACAGGACTGGACGGGAAGGGACTAGAGGGACGGGACGGGACGGCACAGGAAGGTAAGAATCTCGACGAGGGGCCGGGAGGGGACGTGACGGGAAGGCGGGATGCGACGAGACCGGACGCAAATGGAAGGGAGGGAAGAGGAGCACGCGGAAGGGGCGGGATGCGACGGTACGGGGCGGAAACGGGAGGGACGGGAGGGGACGCGACGAGGGGGCGTGCATGCAGGGGGTCATGCATGAATGCAGGTCCTTGGCGTAGCAGGGTGAAGAGCACATCGTGTAATACAGCACAGCACAAGAACAGCGCACAGTGCAGCAGCGCCTGGACGAGTGGGGCGATTGCGAGCGCAAGTGCAGCCAGAGGCGCGAAGCCGCCAAACATGTCCCAAAACTCGGTCGTCCAGCTTGCCGTCGACTGGTTGCAGGGGGGATGGGGGCCGAGCGGGGGAGTGGGAGAGGGAGCGAAGCAGGAGCAAGTAGGGAGCGGAGGAGCGGAGAAAGGAGGGGAAGGGCGGGAGAGAGGCGGCGGAAGAGGGAGAGAAAGGAGCGGGAGGAGAGCGGGGGAGAGGCGGGTTGGAGTGGAGGCGGGGAGAAGGAGCAGGGGGGGGAGGGGAGGGGGTAGGTGGGATGTGGAGGGGAGGAAATGGGAGGGGAGGTGAGTGGAGACAGGAAATGCGCTCCTGCTTGCCGGCGTTCATCCTCCCTATCTCCGTTCTCTCCTCCCCAACCCCTTTTCCTTTCCCCCACCCCCCTTGCCTTTCCACTCATTCTCCCTGCCGCCCTGATTAGGTGCGAACGACGGGTTGCGATAAATCCCGTCATTCCCCCTTCTGCTCCCCATCAATTCCCGCTCTGCTTTTCCATCAATTTCCCCTCTGCTCTCTATTTCCCCCCCTGCCTCTCCTCCGTTCCCCCCCTGCTTCCCCCCATCCCCTTCCCTGCTTCCCCCCATCCCCTTCCCTGCTTCCCCCCATCCCCTTCCCTGCTTCCCCCCATCCCCTTCCCTGCTCCCCCCCATCCCCTTCCCTGCTTCCCCCCATCCCCTTTCCTGCTTCCCCCCATCCCCTTTCCTTCTTCCCCCCATCCCCTTTCCTGCTTCCCCCCATCCCCTTTCCTGCTTCCCCCCATCCCCTCAGCCCTCCTTCCCCCCACCCTCTGCCCTGTTCCACCCTGCCCTCCCCATCCCTGCCTTTCCCTCCCTGCCCTGCGCTTCCCTTCCCCATCCCTTCTCAACCCTTCCCTTCCTTTTCATGCCCTCCCCTTCCCCTTCACACCTCACCCGCCCACTACTGTAGTTCCCATGCATGTGCACCCATCACTGTCTCCCCACATGCTTTCATCATGTGCGCTTGCTTGTGTTCCCTTGCAGTTGTTCCTTTGGCACCTCACACCACCTCCCCCATGTTCCTTCACACAATTATTCCTGCCTACTCCACTCCCTGTATTTTCAGTGGTGAAGCAGAGGAGCAAGCTGAGGCGCAGCTAAAGCTAGTCCACGCTCTATACCGTACCACCACCTGTTTTTCTTGTGTGTTGTATGCAAGCATGATACTGTATTAGTGTAGGAGATATCCATATCAAAGGCACAATATGTACTTTTCTTTCTGCAGTGCAAGATATTCTTCCAAGATGTATGGACACTGAGAGTGTCAGAAGGATAGATAGAGGCATGTCCCTAATACTGGCATGTTCCTATACTGGCTTGTAGCTTGTAGCTTTGCGTATGCATTACAGGTTGTATGACACCTGGTGTCGCAATGGTGCCTCAAATCCATGAGAAGGCAGGGAGGTGTGATGGAAAGGCAGGGAGATGGGTAGTAAGTGAGGGGAGATTTGAAGGGACGGAGGGTGAAAAGGGAATACAAGCGAGTAAACATGAGTTAATAAGATGCATGTATGGGGCAAAAGTGATGGCAGCACATGCACATGAACTGGAGGGCAGAAGGCGAGGAGTGACGTAGAAGGGCGGGGTCGAGAAGGGAAGGGCAGGGAGGAAAGGGCAGGGATGGGGATGAAGGGGAGGGGAGGAAGGGGAGGGAATGATGGGGAGAGAAGGAAGGGAAGGGGAGGAAGTGGAGGGAAGGAAGGGAAAAGGGGGGAGGGGAGATTGGTTACAGGAAGGAAGGGACGGCGGTGAGGATTGCGAGAGTGAGAATGGCAGGAAGAGTGTGAGAGGGCAGACGGGCCTTGTGATGTGGCCCACAAGAGATGAGAAGGAAAACGAGATGGTGGGAGGCATGAAGGAGATAAGGAGAGAAGCAAGGAAGGCAGGGAGAGGTGGTGGGAGGCATGAAGGAGAGATGGAAAAGGGGAAGCGGGATTGGAAAAAGGGGTGAATGAAAAGTGAGAATTCGGTAAGAAGGTGAGTGACGGGGGAAACAGAGTGGGCAGAGGGGAGAAAGGGTGAGTGTGGGGGAAAGAGAGTGAGCAGAGGGGAAAACGCGTGAGTGAGGGGTGAAAGAGAGTGAGCAGAGGGGAAACGGGTGCATAAAAGGGGGGTAATGAGAGCCTGCAGGGGGGGAAATGAGGGCGTGCAGGGGGGGAAATGAGGGCGTGCAGGGGGGGAAATGAGGGCGTGCAGGGGGGGAAATGAGGGCGTGCAGGGGGGGAAATGAGGGCGTGCAGGGGGGGAAATGAGGGCGTGCAGGGGGGATGCCGCGCGAGGAGGCGAGAGGAGCACGCACGGGGAGGGGAGAGGAGCACGCGCGGGGAGGCGAGAGGAGCACGCACGCGGAGGGGAGAGGAGCACGCACGCGGAGGGGAGAGGAGCACGCACGCGGAGGGGAGAGGAGCACGCGCGGGGAGGGGAGAGGAGCACGCGCGGAGAGACGAGAGGAGCACGCACGGGGAGGGGAGAGGAGCACGCGCGGGGAGGCGAGAGGAGCACGCACGCGGAGGGGAGAGGAGCACGCACGCGGAGGGGAGAGGAGCACGCACGCGGAGGGGAGAGGAGCACGCGCTGGGAGGGGAGAGGAGCACGCGCTGAGAGGCGAGAGGAGCACGCGCGGGGAGGCGAGAGGAGGCGAGAAGGGGATATTGGGCGGCAGAAATGGGAGATCGGGCCGCGGGAACGGGAACTCGGGCGGGTTGCACGGGAGATCGGTCGGCGAGCAGGGGAGATGGGGTGGCGGGGAAGCGGAGGTCGGGTGGTGGGAAGATGACGGCTATTACCTAATCATAAGCATAGGCAAAGGGGAGCGCTACTGCTGCTCACCCCTGTTACGTGACATTCTTTGTCCTTTTGACGCCTTTGGATAGGAGCTAGGTTACTAATGGAGTGGTAATGCTTCTACTACGTGTAAGGAGGTAGGGCTGGAGTGCTAACCTTGGCGCTTGATTTTTCCCTATCACTTCACTCCCTTGCACAATCTGTGTTCCCGTCGTCAGTGTTGGTCGCACAAAGTGCAACTTCCCAAACCTGTCACGCAAGAGGTTCGGATGTGACCCAAACCTGCGCCTGAGCTCTTGTGTTGGCCTCAACACTTTGGAACTTCGCGCATGTATTTCCCCCGCTCGTCAAAAAACTCGTCACTCGTAAACCAATCAGGATCTTACTTTCCCAACCAAGTGTTAAACACTAGTAAATATGAGACGCGAGCTTTAACAGAAGAGAAACTACCATTACAAGAGAGTGCATTACCAGCAGGGAATGATGGCGAGGCAGAGGAACTCTGCTAGCAGGGAACCACCCACTAACAGCAGGGCATGAGGCCACCAAACTAGGGACCTCCGGTAAATAACATAATGATACGAGACGAATCCTCCCATCTACCATCACAATGTGCCTCACAAGGTCGCTTAGGGAAAGAGATGACCACTAGAGTTCTGTGGAATGTTAATGTACAAAGAATTGGGCATGCGCTTCATGGAGCTGATAAGGTTTCAATGTCTAGACATCAATGCAATTTCGTTTGTTCAGCAACTTTCTCCACTTTTGCTCCCGAGGCATGCTCATAGTATTCTACAGCGCCAGCAGCCAGCAATGCCGCCAATGTCAATGCCTGAGCGTGTAGCCTGTGGGAAATACAAAAGGAAAGAATCAGAAATGAGCTGAGGAGGCCGCTAAAGCACACAAAAGCATGGCCAATTGTGAGCTTCAAATAGCACAAGGGTTGCCGGGGAGGCGCATATCATCTGTGAGATGTCAGTACTTCACATGATTATCGAAGAGAAGACTCAAAGACTAGAACAGCAGCACGCCTAGAACTTACCGCGCATGGATAATCTTGACGCTCATCTTCTCCCCAGGCTTCCTGAAGTTATACAGAATGGATCCTCCCACCGCTGACGCCCATAGAGAACCTGAGAGGCCGGACACAATCGAGGTGAATGAGAGAGTTTTGGTGGAAATTACTTTAGCAGTGTTTTTGATATTCAAACACCGCCATAGAGAACCTCGGAACAAGCCCACGAGCGAAAGGGATTGACGCAGTCATTCATGATACCGCCAACGTCTATAAATGACATGATGAACTGGCAGAACCAGACTCTCATGTCACAACCAGACGCAGCAACCAGACCAAAGCGTGATCGTTGTGATTCTTTACTCGTTTTCAAGATCCGTTCGGTGCAACGTGTCGCTGCTCGTTTTCTCGAGCAGCAAAAATGTGGGGACAATAGTGATACTAACGGGTTTTAGTTGCGCTCACCGACAGCCTTGATCTTGTTCTCGACGACCCACTTTCTGAATCCCGCAGCGGTGTAGAAATCTGAGCTCGGCGCGCTTGCAGATCCGCTCGCAGAGTCGGCCATTGCGTCTATCTTTTGTTCAGCCCGTTAACTGTTGACGAAAGAATCTGTTGTCGACCGGCGAAGACGCTCGAAGACGCTTTTCGGACGTTCGGTACGCGATGTACAGTTAGACGCGGTGGACGGCGATCGTTGCGAAACAGCGCAGACAGATTAGGCAATTAGCAGCGAGGCACGATACGGAAACGTGTCTGATAAAGAAAGCCGAGTTCCTGAAAGAAATGCTGGTGGTGAACTCAAAGGTGTACTGAAGAATAAAGGAAAATCACGAGTTGAAAAACTCTTGAGCCATATCGGGAGTGCAGAGCTGCCTCGAGATGATCCAATTGGGAGAAGCGTGGCAGAGGAGGAAAAAGGCAGTTGATGGAGGTTGTTGGTGATTCGGGCTGATTTGAATGCGGTTTTGTGCGTTTTAGATGAGGTCGGTGGGGTGGAGATGGAAAATCTGCGATGCTTCTGGTGCAGTTTCCTGACATTCCAGCATCGCCGCGCGCCAGCGCAGCAAGCACCGCTGGCACGCATTGGCGCGGAAATGCAAACCAGTTGCGCGGTACAGGTCGTCTCGTTCATACGCTAAAATAGTCAGATACTCATGACACTAACGGTAGGCTTGTGTTTAGCATCTTGTATGAAAATACTCTTGATACAACTTTACCTTCTCTTGACATGGCATGAGAACTTCATCCCCGGATGTGCCTTCAGGGTCTCCTCCAAAGCTACAGGAGCCGAGAATCCATCATCAAACAACCCACTGTACAAATCCCTCAGAAACAACCCCAGCCTCTCTTCCTCCACCTTAGCACTTGCCTGCTCCTTTTCCACAGCCAAACCAAACACCCGATCCTCCCGACCAATCCAAGCCTCCACGTCCTCCAACCAGGCCTCCCTCTTCCCCATCCTACCCAAATCCCCACCCGCTGCTGCCGCCGCCAAATCCGAACCCATCGTTCCTGGATAAGTCGAGTCGATGCGAGGAGTCATACCACTTGCTGCTGCTGCCGCCACAGGATTTAATGCATAGTGACCGGGCAATGAAGAGGGGCTAGCAGGGGGAGGAGCAATGACCGCCTTGGCTCCAGTGTCCAGAAAGGCGTCTATTAGGGTGGTGGGGGGACCCTGTTGGCCCGTGCATACTATTATACGATCCCTCCATGATGATGCCTGTGGGGGTGGTCACAGAGAGATGGGCAGGGAGGCAGGAGAAGCAGCAGGGAAGCAGGGAAAGATGGAGAATTGGACAGGGTGGTGCGAGATTTGAGGAAAACCGTCATATGGCGCCCACACATGGCCCACAAAGAGATTTCAGCAGCTCACACTGTGCAGCTACATGGCAGTGAGCCACCGGTCATCTAGGCATCATTCAAAATGCGCCTCACCACCTGATACCAATGCATAACCCACCATGCACCATTCATAATCGATCCCTCCAACCGCCCAACCTTCAAACCCTCCAACAATCACCCCATCTCCACCCAACTCACCATCCAGCGAATGTCAGCTTCTGTGAGGTGGACAGCGGGAGCCACCATGCACCATCCATAATCCCACCGTCTGACCATCAAACCAACTGCCCAACCATCAAACCCTCCAACAATCACCCCATCTCCACCCAACTCACCATCCAGCGAATGTCAGCTTCTGTGAGGTGGACAGCGGGAGCCGTGCAGCTGAAGAGGTACGTGCTCACCTCCATGCCGCCCGGCAGGATCTGGAGAATCACAAACAGGGAAACAGTGGCAGCCAGAAAGGGATGTCAGGGGAAACAACAGCGATGGGTTTGGAGAAGTCGCAGTGAGGGCAAAGCCCTTGGCATACCATGTGTAACAACCCAAACATTAATAAGGATAAGACTTGGCACATTTGAGTGTGGCAGCCCATGCATTGGGAAGAGGCAAGGAGGGGCAGCACGGGGCTTACCTGAGTGTGGCAGCCCATGAAGCGATGCAGCACCCCATCCACCACGAAGCAGCTCGCCACATGCACCAACTCCCACAAACTCGCCGGTGCCTTCTCCCCCCCTCCCCTGCCCCCTCTCCCTCCCCCTCCTGCTCCTCCAACCGCTCCCCCAGCAGCACCAGGCGGACCCACACCTCTCACACCACCAGCTGCACCAGTAGCAGCAGCAGCAGAGCCACCAGCAGGACTTGCAGCAGCAGGAGCAGCAGCGGCAGCAGCAGTGACAGGAGCACCAGAAGAGCTCGGGGTTCCACTGATGCCCCTCGCACTGCCGCCGCCACTACCCGAAGCACTCACCCCTCCCGGGCCTGCTGATCCCGAACCTGCTGCCAGTCTTGCGCTTGCCGAACCTGCTGCATTCACCGGACCAAGGCCGGGGGAACCGGCTCCTTGGTGAGTGGCAGCGAGCCCGACCAGATCAGCCGCCGAAGCTGAAGCCGAACCTGGCGCCGAAGCTAGACCACCAGAACCTGAAATCGGAGCTCTGGCAGCACTAGCACCAGCACCAGCAGCAGCAGCAGCAGCAGCAGCACCAGTGGCACCACCAGTACCAGCGGCAGAAGCAGCAGGGGTGTGGGCAAGGGCAGCAGCATGGCGGCGAGCGCGGTTCCACCAGCCGATGCTGTCAATGGCACGGGCAAGCAGGCGCGTGGCGGAGTCACTAGGCTCTGCCACTGACATGACCTCCGATGACCAGCTGAGGAGGGAGGAGAGGAGAAAAGAAAAACAGAGAGGTGAGGGACGGTGTGAGAGAGCAGGTGGGAGGTGGAATCACTGAGTTCTGCAACTGACATGACCTCAGTGGTCCAGCTGAGGAGGAGAACAACACAGGACAATGGGCAGGCAGAGCAGTACATAGGGTGAGGGCAAGAGGGCGCATGGGCCGAGAGAACAGCTGAGACCGGGAGCCAGGGAAGGCCCTTGCGCATGAGCCAGACCAGGGAGAGCAAGTGAGCAATGGCACTCACGTGAGGATGAAGCCTGACTGGTCGCAGGGCAGCACCAGGTGCACGAGGCCCACGCCAGCAGCCTGCTGCAGGCGCTGCATGAGTGCTGCTGCCGGGGGGGAGAGAGACAGTGGTGTGAAAGGCCTAGCCATCACAGCGGCGAGCACAAGCAAACTCTGAAACTCACGTGAGGATGAAGCCTGCCTGGTCGCAGGGAAGGGCCAGGTGCACGAGGCCCACACCAGCAGCCTGCTGCAGGCGCTGCATGAGTGCTGCTGCCGGGGGGGACAGAGACAGCGCCACCGCCCTCCTCGACCCGCCCTCTGTCCACACCGGCTTCAGCCGCGCACCCACACTCGGCAGCGTTGCTGCTGCTGCCGCCGCCGCCGCCGCTGCTCTCCCTGCTGTTGCCGATACCGTTGCCTCTGCTGCGCCTGATGCTGATGTTGGCGTGTAACCCCTTATGACTGCTCCCGTGCCTGCTTGCTTGGTGCTCATGCCTCGCTGCCCCTCCTCTTCCCCGTCTGAGTCCTCCCCTTCGGCCATCCAGGGCCGGAAACTTGCTTCCACTCCCAGAGGTCTGTCCTCTGTACTAGTCGCTCTGGTACTAGACCCAGCCCCAGCACGGGTAGCAGCAGCAGCAGGAGCAGCAGCAGCAGCAGGAGTGGTGCTAGCAGGGCGTGCGGCGTCCCCTGTAGGCTTGTTAAGGTCGAGGTTGGAGGGAACTCGGAATACCGGGGAACCACCACCCCCTCCTCCCCTTCCATCCACTCCCCTTCTGCCTCCTGCACTTCCCATTGTTCCTCCCGAACCTCCACCCGTGCTACCCGAGCCTATTCCCGGACCTGCTGCTATGGCCGTGCTGCTACCGGACCTCCTCATCCCAGCAGCACCGGCTGAAGCCACTCCTGCTGCTGCAGGTGCTGCCACTCCTGTCACAGACGCTAAATGGGGACTAGCACCACCACTAGCAGACGCCCCAGCAGCCGCAGCTGCAGCAGCAGCCATGGCCGAAGCTGACCCTGTGATTCGGGGGCTCCCAGGCACGCTGGAGGGTCGGGAGCTGAATGGGGACTGGAGAGAAGTGGAGAAATACAGCCCTGTAGACGCAGCAGCAGCAGCAGCACCCGCAGTGCCACCAGAAGGAGCATCGCAGGGTTCACAGATGTGTTCATCTACCTTAGGAGGGCGGCGCAGGTGGGATAGCAGACTGCCAGTGCTGCCACCCTCCGTGCTGATGCTGCTGCTGATCCCTACAAGCCTAGCTGCTGCTGCTTCATGAGTAGAAACAGTGCTGCTGTTGTTGATATAGCCACCGCCGCCGCCGATGGCAGAGCAGCAGAGCCGCGCCGAGTGCTGCCAGGGCCGGCGCGCAACGGACGGCCGGAAGGAGTCCACGAGCAGCACGTGCCGACGGTATGGATTGATCGCGTGCAGCGAGCTGCCACTGCCTCCCCTCCTCTGCTCCCCCTGGGTCCCAATCACCTTGGCCAGGGGCGAGGCGGGGGCAGACGTCTTGGGCGACCTAGGCGACGCAGGGAGCACAATGGGAGGGTAAACAGGTGCTGCTGCAGGGCTGGAGTAGCCAGCGGCTCTCGGGGTGCCGGGACAGGGGCTGCCAGGCATGCTTCCCGGCCGACTGCCCGGCCGACTCCTATACCCCCCTGCCGCTGCCGCTGCTGCTGCTCCTCCGCCTAACAGTGCTGCTGCGGCGGCCTTATCTGCCTCCTCCTGGGCCACGCAGAGGCGCAGGTACTTGCAGAGCTCTGCCATGTCGCGGTTGACTGCTGTGAGGTACTCGTCTGTTGCCGTCTCCAGCTTCTCCCACTCCGCTGGGTCTGTCTCGTCCAGATCCATGCCACACCGCTCGTCCACTGCTTGGGGAGGAGGGGGAAAGGGCAAGGGAAAAAGGGAAAGCGAGAAACGGGAAAGGGGAAGGGGGAAGACGGAGGAGGGAAGGGTGGCGGGAAGTATTCAATGTGGAGGGGAAGTGGGGGGAGCAGAGGCGCAGGTACTTGCAGAGTTCTGCCATGTCGCGGTTGACTGCTGTGAGATACTCGTCAGTTGCGGTTTCATCTAAGTCCATGCCACACCGCTCGTCCACTGCTTGGGAGAGATGAGGGGGTTGAATAGTGGGGTAGGGAGCGGTTGAAAGGGATTAGAAGGGAGGCACTTCCAGCTTCTCCCAGTCGGCTGGGTCCGCCTCGTCCAGATTTATGTCACACCGCTCGTCCACTGCTTGGGAGGAGGGGGGCGAGGATGGGGGAAGAAGTGGAAGGGTGGAGGGAAGAATTCGGTGTGGAGTAGGGCGGGGGGAGTACAGGCACAGGTACTTGCAGAGGTCTGTCATTTTACACTTGAACCCCTTACCTAATTGACCTGTTTCCCTGCCACAACCGTCTCTTGCCTCAAGACTGACCTGGGTTGAAGCGGTAGTATTTCACATCAGGCAGCATCGGCATCACCGATTCAAACGCCAGATCTGCCTGCTCCACCGATGTTGCAGCCTCGGCCAGCACCTGCCCCGTATCCGCCACCCTCCACCCGGGCCTCCCGCGCAGCTTCGGTGGCGCCGAGCCGCACCCGAGGCTCACCACGCAGTCCAGCGGCAGGTCCGGCCAGAGCAGCCGGGCCTCTCTCACCGCGACAATTGTAGGGTTATTTGCGAAAATCGCCCCATCTTGCCAGCGGTGCGGCCCCACGGCGAAATCGTCAAAGTAGTACGGAGCTGCGGAGGAGGCTCGGATGGCTTGCCAGAGCTGCATCTTGCACGTGCCTAGCAGCGCGGATAGGCCTGACGTGCGCATGCGGGGGGGCGGCGTGGGCATGGGGGACCCGTCGGCCGGGGGGTGGGGGGTCTCCCTGGTCCCAGGAGGGTACTGTTGGGGATGGGGGAAGAGGGAAGAGGGATGAGGGATGAGGGATGAAGGATGAGGGAAGAAGGAAGTAGCAGCAACGGTTAGGGGAGTGGCGGCGGGGAAAGACGGCGCAGACCAGAAAGGGCTGCAACTTGCACGCGGATAGCCCCGGGTGGCTGGCATGGAAACTGTTGGATGGAGGGTTAGGGGGCAGGAAGGCTATTGGCAGAGTGCACCCCACACTCAGCAATTGGTAAGAACCTCACCTGGTAGTTTCGGAAGACGAAGGGTGTGGCGGGTGTGACACTAACGAGGGTGGACACCACGAAGACCTTGGGCCCGCCCTTGACTGCGGAGTCTATGAGCAGATCGCCATCGTCGTCCGTGCACATCTCCTGTAGCAGCTGCTCAAACTCCTCCGCGTTGTGCTGGAAGAGGGAAGAAAGAGGGTGGGGAGGGGGGAGAGAAAGAGGCACAACGATGATTGGTGGGTCAATGAGCAGGTCCCCATCGTCGTCCGTGCACATCTCCTGCAATGGCTGCTCAAAGTGCTCCGTGTTGTGCTGGAAGAGGGAAACAGCGCAAGGGAAGGGGAGAGACGGGTGCAAGTGAATATGACTGCAGAGTCTATAAGCAGGTCCCCATTGTCATCTGTGCACATCTCCTGTAACAGCTGCTCAAACTTCTCCGCGCTGTGCTGCGAGCGGGAGGAACGGGAGGAGTGGAGAGGAAGGGGAAAGGAGGAGGAGAGGGGGGGGGGATCATCTCCCTGCAATAACTGCTCAAAATGTTCCGCATTGTGCTGCGTCTGGGAGGAAAGATGAGGTGGCGGGAGGGGAGAGAGGGCGTGATGCGTTGTTAGGCAATTACATGTAAATTGGTATCCATTTACATATAAGTGTGCATTTTTGCCTAAGGTCAAACTGGATCAGGAAAAACATGCACCATGTTTAGATACTTCACTGAGGATGCTCTTCGAAAAATTATGTCAAAATCAGTTGAGAATCTGCTCAACTAAACTTGAATTAACTCCACGAAAGTCATCCTCAGTGGAATCTCCAAACATCGTGTACGCTTTTCCAGAGGCAATTTGACCGTGACAAAAATGTACACCTGAATGAAAGTGGATATCAGTTTAAACATAGATGCCTAACGGACAGCGCATGAAGGCACACGCTTACCTTATACCCATCAAGTGCACTAGCAACAAACTCCTGCAGCAGCTGCTCAGCTGCGCTCTCTGCCCGTATCACATCATCCCCCTAACCTTCACCATCCATACACCCTACACCGCGCCCCACCTTGCTTCCACCCGCACCCACCTTGCTTCCACCCGCACCCACCTTGCTTCCACCCACACCCACCTTGCTACCATGCACCACCACACGGTAGTTCTGAGACGAGCTCTTGTACAGCTGGTGCAGCTGGTCCCATCCCCTCAAACCACCACACACCATGCACACACCCTTCACCCTTCACCCCCTGCTTCTACACGACCCTCTTACTCACCTTGCTACCGTGCACCACCACACGGTAGTTCTGAGACGAGCTCTTGTACAGCTGGTCCAGCTTGTCCCGCCACGATGCTGACTCCATCGCCTCCACATTCGAAAACACCAGCTTGCCTGGTGGGAAGGGAGGGAGGGAGCGGGTAGACAACGGGGAGAGTTGAACAAGGGGAGAGCAAGGGGAGCGTTGGGGGGGATTGATTGCACATACAGTGCAGCGACTCCATCGCCTCCACGTTTGAGAACACCAGCTTGCCTGAAGAAGGGGAGGCGGATGAACAAGGAGAGAGCAAGGCACGTTCAGAAAGTGGTTCTGAGACGAGCTCTTGTACAGCTGGTCCAGCTTGTCCCGCCACGACGCCGACTCCATCACCTCCACATTCGAGAGCACCAGCTTGCCTGGTGGGAAGGGAGGGAGGGCGTTGAACACGGAGAGAGCAAGGGGTCGCAACTTGAATTTTGAGGCGCCCCAAAAGTCCAACTTGTCCCGCCATGACGCTGACTCCATCGCCTCCACATTCGAAAACACCAGCTTGCCTGGTGTGAAGGGAGAGGGGTCGACATGGAGAGAGCAAGGGATGGTCGCAAATACAATACAGCTTGTCGTCGTGGGCTCTGTGTTCAGCATGCCGCCAGTGGTCGTGCGTGCCACACACCAGGTCAAACAACGCGCGCCCAAAACCCGCTCTCCCTTACAGCCACAGAAACCCCTTCAAGCCCCTGAAACCCCACTCACCCAGCCGCCGGTACACGTTGTCACACTGGTCCAAGGTGAGCCGTTTGATGCCCAGCTCGGCGGCCAGCATGCCCCCGGTGGACGTGCCACACACTAGGTCAAACAGCTCGTGCACATGCCTGCCCAAACCCCAGTTTCTTTCCCCTTACAGCCACAGAAACCCTCCCAAACCCACTCACCCAGTCGCCTGTAGACATCATCACACTGGTCCAAAGTGAGGCGCTTGATGCCCAACTCAGCTGCCAGCATGCCGCCAGTGGACGTGCCACACACGAGGTCAAACAGCTCGTGCACACGCCTGCCTGTGCGCCCCTCGATCTGCCGCAGCATCTGCACCATTGCCATGCCCCGCATGCCCCCCCCGTCCATCACTAGTACACGCACGCCTCTCTGCCCCACTGCCCTTGTGCACAATGCTTCCTGTACCAGCCGGTTTTCACCTGCAGTGCACCGCACAGAGCACATCACAGCACATCATACCACAGTGGAGAGCGAGAAGGGACAGGATAAAAAGAGAGGGAGGAGGAGTTGGATTAGCTGCGCAGCATCCGCACCATTGGCATGCCGCGCATGCCCCCCCCCTCCATCACCAGCACGCGCATGCCCCTCTGCCCCACCGGCCTAGTGCATAGCGCCTCCTGCATCAGCCGGTTCTCCCTTACAATGCCCACGAACGGGACAGATTGAAGGGAGATATGCTAGCAAACCAAGATGGCAAGCCACCTTACCAGAAATAGCAAGTCAGGCTACCCGATATAGCAAGCCAGCTTACCCAGAATAGCAAGCACCCGCGCTGCCGCCTTGCGAAACGAGAAGACAGTTGGAACCTCCACCACTAGCGCCCTGTGCTGGTACCTGCCCACACCCCCTCCACCCCCCCTCATCCCCTCCCCTTCCGCTCCCAAACCCCCTTCTCCCGCTTCCTCTCCCCCTCCCCCGCCCCCGAAGCCCCCGCCGCCCAGCCCCCCGCCCCCTGTGGCGAGGTGATAGAGCCCGTCTAGGAAGCCTGGTTGGGCCACCAGCAGGCGGCGGTTGTCCGGGCAGAATGACAAGTTACCCACGGCCATGAGGGCTTGAGTTTGCACCTAGGAGAAGGAGGAGGATGGAGGGAAGGGGGTGAGAGAGGGAAAAAAACGTGGGGTTGTTGGACGACCAATAAGGAAGAGGTTAGAACGGAAAGGGTGCAGGTAGGGTGGCGGTGAGAAGGGTGCAGAAGGTTTCGAGGAGAGAGGTATGGATGGAGGAAGAGAGGGGGAGAGAGCAGCAGAGCAGGGCGCTTCACAAGGTGGAACTTTGAGTGGGGGAAAGGAGAGATGCAACAGTCATAGCCGCAGCAAGCAGATGGCTCTAAGCATGCCACACCCCACACACGACCCATACCATCCTGCACGCTACGAGCCATACATCTCATCCACATACCACCCTGCATGCTGCACATACGCCATATAGCACCCCTCCCCCCCCCCCCCTCTCCCCCTTCCGCACCCGCACACACATACCATCATGTGCGTGTGGTGGCACAGACTGGTGAGAATGGCCGCCGAGTCGACGTTCAAAATGCGCGCGGCAACGGAGTCAGAGGCGAGGGCGAGGTTGGCAATGACACGCAGCACGGACACGAGGATCTCCGGCTGCTGAGAGAGCAGCAGCGAGCAGATGGCTGCTAGCACGTCCGACTTCACCAGATGGGTGACTAAAGCGTCGTCCATTGCCAGGGAGGAGAGCGCATGGCACGCCTGCTCCACCTGGTGTCGGGGGGGAGGGGGGTGGACGAAGGGGCGGAGGAAGACGGGGGGTTTAGGGTTTGCCTTGAGGTGTCTCAAAGAGCAGCAGCGAGCAGATGGCCGCCAGCACGTCTGACTTCACCAGGTGGGTGACCAGTGCGTCGTCCATTGCCAAGGAGGAGAGGGCATGGCACGCCTGCTCCACCTGATGAGGGTGGGGGAAGGGGAAGAGGGAATGGGGGGTTGGCGGATTGACGGGAGTGCTGGGAGAGCAGCAGCGAGCAGATGGCCGCCAGCACGTCCGATTTCACCAGATGGGTCACCAGTGCGTCGTCCATTGCCAGGGAGGAGAGCGCATGGCACGCCTGCTCCACCTGGTGTGGGTGGAGAAGGGGTGTCTGGAGAGGATTTGAGCCGCCTCAAGACACAGCAATGAGCAGATGACACCACTACTATGTGACGCCAGGGCATGTGGCATGATCATGCACCACCACCCACGCATCAACCATGCACCACAACTCACGCCCCATAGCCCATGCCCCACGCAAGCAAACCCACCTCCCACTCACAACATTCTTGGAGTCTGCCAGCACCATGCCCACGATCTGCCAGATAGCGCTCGCATCCTTGCTGATCTGCTCTCCAGCCCCACCCAACTCCACACGCCACAGCCCATGCCCTCCTCCCATGCGGCCCCTTCTAACTCACCACGTGCTTGGAGTCAGCAAGCAGCATGCTCACGATCTGCCTGATCGCGCTCTCATCCTTGCCAATGGCCGCGCGGTTCTCGCGGTCCTCACAGATGCGTGCCAGGGCGGACGCCAGCAGCGGGTGGTGCACGGACGAGTAGCGGAAGATGAGGGCGAAGAAGTCGCTCAGGCAGTGCTTGGACGCAGAGAAGTAGGAGCCTTGCTGCGCCTCCAGTTGCTGAAGATGCGTGAGAGGGGAGGGGGGCGGGACGGGCGGGAGAGAAGAGAACGAGGAATGGGCAAGTGGCCGAGTATGAGGGCAAACGTGTTCCTCAAACGCTGTTAAACGCGACAGTCTGTGCAATGATGGACTCACCACGATGCTAACGTCAACGATCTTGAGGTCTGGGTCGCTGACAATGCGCACGTTGGCAAGGGAGAACATGCGCAGGTGGCGGCAGGGCAGGATCTCTGGGAAGAACTCGAGCGGGTTGTTGAACAGCCGCAGCACCCTCAGGTCTGCCAGGCACCTGGATAGGGGGTAGATGGAGGGTAGAAGGGGGGGGGGGGGGGAGGAGTGTGATTGGAACTTGGAGGGCGGTGTTGTGAAATGTGGCTGATGTAGGGATGGTGGCACAAGCAAGAAAGGATCTCTGGGAAGAACTCGAGCGGGTTGTTGAACAGCCTCAGCACCTTCAGGTCCGCCAATCACCTGCAGCGCACAGGGGGGCAGGCGAGGGGTAGGCGGTGGGGAAGGAAATGGTTGGGACTTGTGGATTGGGGATGGTGTAGGGATCGCTCCACGAGCCAGGCAGGATCTCCGGGATGAACTCGAGCAGGTTGTTGAACAGCCGCAGCACCCTCAGGTCCGCCAGGCACCTGCAAGGGGGTGGATTGAGTTGCCAAGTGGAAGGGGGTGTGTTCATTAGGGGATGGAACAACCGCGCAAGGAGCAGTGGCGACAGAAGGCGAGTGGCAGAAGAGTGGCAAAGGGGTAGCGGAAGAGTGGAAGGCGGGAAGAAGTGGAGTGAAAGGCACGTAGCAGACGCACCTGAAGTCGAGGAGGGGACGCACAAGGCGGTTGTTCTCAAGGGACAGCTCCCTCAGGTTGGTGCACTCCCGCAGTGTGACTGCCACGGGGAGGGATGGTTTAGGACAGGAGAAAGAGGGCAGGGGAGAGGAACAAGAGGGTGTGTGTGAAATTAACGATTGGAGCACGTAACATGCTTTAGTCAATGCATGCAAGGTCCCCAGGACCAGGCACAGGGACCAGGACTAGGTACCGAGGAGCACGGTCCAGATAAGTCCACGCGCGCACTTGGCATGGCAAGGGAGGGATGGTGCACACTTTTATTAGACAACTTCCTCTGCACAGAGGGCTCAAAACTCAATTCCCGAGACACCTCAACTCTGTTGTGTGTGACTCAGTTGAGGGAAAAGAGAGATGGAGCTCATGCGGGAGAAATAGCATTTTCATGTCAAAGGAGAATTCATTGACCATGCCTCTCAGCTTGGCCAGATTCATTCTCATTTGACAAAAATCTCCTTCTCCCGCATCAGCTCCATCTCCTTTTCCCTCAGCTGAGTTTGCACGTCGGAAATTCTCTTCTTCGTAGCCTCCTTGGCCGTCTCAAACTGAACTTGCTACATGGAAGAGATGACATCCAGCACCCTCAACTGCTGCAGCTGCCTTCTCTTTAAGGTGGTCTGTGCTGTGTGCCTAAAGAAGAGAGACTCACTAGGCACACAGCACAGACCTCAATCAAAACTATACTGTGGGCGTGACTCACTGGGCAGGTGAGCAGGTTGTTATCAGCGCATCCGCGCAGCACCAGCTAATCCCCTCTTTTAGTAACACTAAGAATCACTCACTAAACACACGGGCCTAGAAAATTGATTCTGAAATGCCTTACAAGCCCTAAAGATTCTGCTGCGCGTGACTCACTGGGCACGGTGGTGAGCTGGTTGTTGTCAGCGCGCAGCACCCTCAGCTGCTGCAGCTAACCCCTCTTTATGGTGCATTACGAGATACGCACTGGGCACACAGAAGCCGCCAAGTGTGCATGACTCACTGGGCACGGTGGTGAGCTGGTTGTTATCAGCGCGCAGCACCCTCAGCTGCTGCAGCTGCCCGATCTCCCCCGGCAGCGCGCTCAGGCGGTTGTTCTCCACCTCCAGTACCTCCAGTAGGGGCAGGTTCATGGTGAAGTTGGGGAGGACCTGGAGTGGGGTTGGTTCAGGAGAAAGAAGTAGAGAGGGTGGGACAAAGAGGAGCACTCAGAAGGTTGTTTTCCACCTCCAGTACCTCCAGCAGGGGCAGGTTCATGGTGAAATTGGGCAAGACCTGGGGTGGGGGTAGGAAGAAGAAGGGCTACTGAGGAAAAAACAGTGGCGCTAGGGACTTGCTCTCCACCTCCGGTACCTCCAGCAGGGGCAGATTCATGGGAAGGACATTGGGTCAGGAAGAAAGAAGAAGAGAGAGGGGACAAAGACGCACACTAAGAAGGTTGTTTTCCGCATCCAGTACCTCAGCATGGGCCTAAAAAAGGCAACACGCACTTACAGAGAAGGCAAAAGGTTAGGGAGGGATTGATATGCTTATAAACGGGGCACAGGAGGTCTGAGAAAGGTTGATGTGCTTACAGAGAGGGAGCAGGAGGAGAGGGAGAGGGCCTTCAACGAGCGCCAGTGGTCGGAGTAACCCAACATGCTCTCCGCTGCTGCTGTTGACAGCACCTGCTGCTGCTGCTGCTTCTGCTGCTGCTCTGGGGAAGCGGATACTGACTGAAACTGCTGTTGCTGCTGCTGCTGTCCCCCTGCTGACATTCTTCCTTTCTCGCTTCCATCTCCCGATCCTGACTTCACCAGAGCCCCACCACTCCCTGCACTCCCGCCCGACCCTGAACCGCCACCTGAACCGACAGAACCCCCTCCTGCACCTGAAATTCCACCTGAGGTCCCTGTGGGAATCGCGCTGGCAGCAGCAGCAGCGACGTCAGCCCGGTGGAGGGCGACACCCTTGGCGTCTAGCAGCTTAGCCAGCATGGACAGCCCATCGCTGCCTGAATAGGACGAGCTGCTGCTGGCGGCTATTCGCGTCAGTCGCAGCACGTGCAGCGGTTCCCTCTGCTTGTGCACTCTCATGTTCATCCGGACCGTCCACTTCCCAGAATCCTGCAATCTCAGCCGTTCGTCTCCTGAGTCTTTTGATGCTTCGTCTGGTGCTGCTTCGGGTGATGCTGCCTTGCTGTCCTGATTCTCTTCGCCACGTGGCTCCACGTGCATGCCTACCACCACGTGGTCATGGGGCGGAGGTAGGGTTACCATCACGAGTGATTGTAACCGTAACGCCACCTGCTCCTCGTCGTCGCCAGCAGACCAATCGACCTGAATGCGAAACCTGCACTGTCGCTCCGCGCTCACCATTGGCTCGCGAATCTTGCTCAGTAACGCTCTCGCCACCGCGCCAGGCCCACCCTCGCCGTCCGATTCATCCCCAGCGTCAGATGCGGCGGACGACGTGGTCCCATCTAAGCCGTTGGTTTCAACGGGGAGAACTTTCTCTCTCTGCTTCTCCTTCTCCCCGTAGCCTAACTCGAGCTGGAATTTGTCCGTCTCCCGCTTCCATCCCCCCATCCACGACATCTTGAACCGCTTGTAAGCACCTGTCGCTCCTTCAAAGTCTCTACCTCGTAAAATCCCTTGGGATTGCCGCGAATTCCTTAGATGTCCTCGAGATTTGCAAGATCGTTGAGATTTTCGTGATCTTCCAGCTTCGTCGACTTCTTTTTTTCCTGAAGCCGCAGCGATTCCAGGCGACGCGGGACGAGATGCGTTCGGATAAGCACGCGTGGCGATTGAGTTGGGAGATTCAGCGACGCGCGAAGATCGTTTGAAGGATGTCGAACCAGGAACGGGACGCGACTGCGCTTGAAGCTGAAAAGACGGCGATTGAAGCGATGCCGACGGACCCTGGAGAGACGATGGCTGACCAAGCTGATCTGACTGCTGCTGCTCTTTCGCCTTGGAGGCGATTCCGAGTTTGCGGGAGAGAATCGAGGAGCCGGATCTGAACAGACTCGATACGGACTCTTGGATCAGTCGCGACGTGCCGAGTGAGACGCTCCCAGGCTCTGGATCGGGAATACGCGACGAACTAATCCGTCTACGCTTGGAGTCTCGTGATTCGTCAGAAAGATGTACCTTATTAGGACAGCGAACGGACATTAGTCCCAGAGAAATACGTCCTCAGCTATTAAATCCATCGCCATTACATCCTCATCATACGGTCGTCATAAGAAACTCTAGATCACAAAAAGAAGAGCGCCGGGAGTTTTTTTTGTGCAAAACGGCGCACGCGGTGCGCGATGTGGTATAATAATGGTGATCTCTCGGTCTCTCTGCTCGGTTTCGTTCAGAGCTTGCTCTGCGCTGCACCATAGCCATGCGCGTCCTTTCACTCTTCCACCTCCATTATCAATGGGCCGCTTGACTTGGTTTGGCTCAGCTGCCCGTTTCCAGATGGTTCATGTTTACTCGGCAACTAGACAAACCTCTCCAACGCGGCATATCTCTCTGGAACGTTTTGTTTCACCCCGATCAAATGCTGTCGTCAGCGGCACCAGCCGGCTTGTAGCGCGCGCCATTTCGCAGGGAGGAGGGAGGTTGTCAGGGTGGTTACACTCGTGTTACCACATCCACCAGGATGTGCTGTTCACCAGCATGGCAATTTCAAGGGTGTCAAACTGAGAGATTATAGCGAGGTGGCTGTTACCAGCTGTACAAGCCATTCGCCGTGTTGAGCATGCCACGTGCTATGGAGCAGTTGATAGCACAATAAAACACTAATGTAAACGAGCCCATGAAACACTTCATCTCAAAACACGATAGTTCTAGGATTTTGGTTTACTCGTTATCTGTGTGTTCGTTGAGCCGAGAGAAGGTTAGCATCTCCCTCGACAAGGACGAGATTAGCCTTCGGGCTCTCAACACACAACGGTTAAGGCATCCCGCGCGAGCGGGCACAACCAATTTTTCTTCCACTTTTAGTGAAGAACCTCCTACTCGTTTTGCTTAGTTCTCGCGCGAAGTCGTAGGTAACGCGCGCGCCGTTGCCCCCACTCTGTCTACCTGGTTCTTTCGGCGCTTACCAGAAAGACCCGGGACTTGTAGACTTCAGCCGTCTAGCCGCCCGCATTCCACGGCTAAACTTGAAATCTCTCACGTGGAACCCTGCGGGTTTTGAGGCGCCTGATTTGTCCTCTCACTGAGACCACTGCAACGGGTTAGGAAGGTTAGCCGTTGCAAGGTGCGAGTCGTAAAGGACTTCGCGCGGAAACAGGCTGTGAGGGAAGGGACCAGAGGGGAGCGGAGGGTTGTAGAGGAATACAAACGAGTGAAAAGGAGTGAGGAGGAGTGGTGATCGATAAGCGGGGGAGGGAGGGCGGAGATGTCGACGAGAAGGGGAGCGCCATCGAGAGGCGCGCCCAAGCACCAGAACAAGTGAGCCCCTCTGCGAAACGTGCGAAACCCTCTGCCCGACCGTCCCGTGTGCCTTGCAGAACCCGCCTACGCACTCCAAGGCAGTGGTTTTTGCAAGATGCTGTTCCTGCCAGGGCAGCGTGGGTCTGCCAAATCCAGAACTCAAGTTAAACCCTTGATGGATTACTGTCCCCGTCCTGTGCCGTTCCCGTGGCGTGCCAGGGTAGCATGGATTGCTGAACCCAGAACCCCGGTTAAACCCTCGAGTGTGTGTGTGTGTGTTCTGGCTGTGTGCACGTCCCTCCCTCCCAACGGCATGGCAGGGTAGCATGGGTTCCGGAACGCAACGTGCAGAAGAAAGAAACGGTGAGCCCAGAGAGGGGGGGGGGGAAGGAGGGAAGCGCGGGGAGTGAGGGGGAGAACGAGGTGTGAGTGCGCGCCCTTCCTCGCGTTTGGGTTGTATGGCATGGCAGGGCAGCATGGGTTTCAGAGAGCAACGTGTAGAAGAAGGAGACAGTGAGGCGAAGGGGTGGGAGACAGGGGGAGAAAGGGAGGAGACGAGGGGAAAACTTTGGAGAGTTCTCAAGAAGGAAAGAAAGAAGGATAGAGAGAGCGGGTAGTAGGGAGGGAGCAGTGTGAGGACGAGAGGGAGAGGGGCAGTGTGGGTTTCGGAGCTATATGTTCATGGGGCACGGGGCACGGTGCACGGGTCATGGTTCATGGATTATGGGGCACAGGGCACAGGGCACGGGTCATGGTTCATGGGTCATGGGGCACGGGGCACAGGGCACGGGTCATGGTTCATGGATCATGGGGCACGGGGCACGGGGCACGGGGCACGGGGCACAAGGAGGCAGTGGGATGTGGGGAGGAGGAAAGCGAAGAACGAGGGAGCTGGGCACCAAGTCGAGAGGCCATTCGCCAACACCTCCTTTCGCTTTCCTGACTCCCCCCTCCTAACACCCTTCTACCCCTTTGGTTTCTCCCCCCTTCCCCTCCCATCCCAACTTCCCACCAGGAGCTGGGCACCAAGTCGAGGCCGTTCGCCAACATCTCAGGAGTGTGCCGGCGCTGCAGCGAGCAGATCGCATGGCGCCGCAAGTGAGTGGTTGAAAGCGGCTGAGCGGGGCTGGGAGTGGGGTTGAATGGGCCGGGCGCGAGAGGGCTTCTTGTGTGGCGGCGCTGCTGCGACCAGATCGCATGAAGCCTCTCATGTCAGTGGTGTGTGCTGTGAGGGGCTGAGTGGGGCCACAGCAGGAGGGCTAGTTGTGGGCTGGTCGGGCTGACTTGAGGGATGCTGGAGTGGGAGTGGTGGGGGATGAGGAGTGCTGGGGAATTGAATGGGCGAGGGGAGAGAGGAAAGAGGAGAGACGAGAAAGGGGGGAGAATCTTTAGTAGCGGAAACGGGTGCTACACACTCTGCACATGAATGTCTCCGTCTGCTGCATTCCCTGCTGACCGACCCCAGCATTTCCCCTGCACATTCCTCCTACGTCTCCCTCCCCCTATTCCCCAACTCCCCTCTTCCCTGGCCCTCCTTTCTGTCGTCACAGCTCTCAGCTTCTGTTACACCCTCCACGCTCCACACACAGAGAGGTGACTTTTGAGTCGACTCAAACGTCACCTCCACGCCCCACACACACCACTCACCCCAGTCCTCTCTTTCTTCCTCCCACACCTCCCCTCTCCCACACCCCATTCTCATCGCCCTTGTCCCCCCTCTCCGCCCCTGGGCGCAGGTACGGCAAGTACAAGCCTCTCACCGAGCCTGCCAAGTGGTGAGACGCGGAAGCAACACCAGAAAATGGTGCTTGAGTCGTTACAGTTGTGACGCCTGCCGGCTGATAGAGCTGTGAGGCCAACACAGCGATGTGGTTGTTGGGTTAAGTCGATTCAAACAGGCTACACATGCTATATGGTTGCTGGGTTTTCTTCTGGGAAATTGACGTGCGCTCTCTTGATTGTTTTTTTTCCCGCTCATCCACTAAGTCTGGTTTCCCTTCGTCACCCCTCCACTCCCCTTCCTTTCCACTTGCCCTATCCCTGAGGTGCCTGTATCTCCCTCCCACCACTCATTCACCCTTCTTCCCGTTCTCTCCCTTGCCCTTCTCTCCCTCATCCAATCCTGGGTCCACCAATTACAGCCAAGCATGTGGCAAGAGGAATGTGAAAGACGCATACCATGCCATCTGCAGAGGTGCGCGTTCCATCCCTGCACTGTCATGCCATCTGCAGAGGTGCGCATTCCATCCCTGCACTGTCATGCCATCTGCAGAGGTGCGCGTTCCATCCCTGCACTGTCATGCCATCTGCAGAGGTGCGCGTTCCATCCCTGCACTGTCATGCCATCTGCAGCGGTGCGCATTCCATCCCTGCACTGTCATGCCATCTGCAGAGGTGCGCATTCCATCCCTGCACTGTCATGCCATCTGCAGAGGTGCGCGTTCCATCCCTGCACTGTCATGCCATCTGCAGAGGTGCGCGTTCCATCCCTGCACTGTCATGCCATCTGCAGAGGTGCGCGTTCCATCCCTGCACTGTCATGCCATCTGCAGAGGTGCGCGTTCCATCCCTGCACTGTCATGCCATCTGCAGAGGTGCGCATTCCATCCCTGCACTGTCATGCCATCTGCAGAGGTGCGCATTCCATCCCTGCACTGTCATGCCATCTGCAGAGGTGCGCGTTCCATCCCTGCACTGTCATGCCATCTGCAGAGGTGCTCGTTCCATCCCTGCACTGTCATGCCATCTGCAGCGGTGCGCATTCCATCCCTGCACTGTCATGCCATCTGCAGAGGTGCGCATTCCATCCCTGCACTGTCATGCCATCTGCAGAGGTGCGCGTTCCATCCCTGCACTGTCATGCCATCTGCAGAGGTGCGCGTTCCATCCCTGCACTGTCATGCCATCTGCAGAGGTGCGCGTTCCATCCCTGCACTGTCATGCCATCTGCAGAGGTGCGCATTCCATCCCTGCACTGTCATGCCATCTGCAGAGGTGCGCATTCCATCCCTGCACTGTCATGCCATCTGCAGAGGTGCGCGTTCCATCCCTGCACTGTCATGCCATCTGCAGAGGTGCTCGTTCCATCCCTGCACTGTCATGCCATCTGCAGAGGTGCGCATTCCATCCCTGCACTGTCATGCCATCTGCAGAGGTGCGCATTCCATCCCTGCACTGTCATGCCATCTGCAGAGCTGCGCATTCCACCCCTGCACTGTCATGCCATCTGCTGAGGTGCGCGTGAAAGGCATGCCAAGTTACCAACCATTTGATAGTTTCAAGATGGGGCATGCCACTCATGCCATACCATACCATCTGCAGAGGTGAGGCATGCCATTCATGCCATACCATGCCATCTGCAAAGGTGCATGTCACGTTGCCAAGGTGCCAAGGTGCTTCATCTTACCAACTATCTGATACTTTCAAGGTGTGCGCCATGCCATTCACTTGCACTATCCATCATGCCATTGCATGATAGGATTTTCATCCATATATTCCTTCCTTCCTCACCTCATCTCAGCTATAAAAAAAATATCCAAGAGTCAGAAACTTTTGCCTGAGCTTACGTATGTCTTCCCCCATCATTTCCCCCCATCCATCCATCCATGCATGCATGCATTGCGTGTGTATGTATGTATGCGTTGCTCCACGCATGTCCACGCATGCATGGCACACAGCATGTGCGCAGGAGAAAGGGTTGTGCCCCAAGTGCCGGCAGCCCACCAAAGAGATCGTGCAAGAGTGAGACCATTCGAGACGCACAATCCTTGCACTCCCAACCCCATCTGCTCTGCTCTGCCCTCGCACTGTTTGCCTTCGTGCCTTTTGCCAAACAGATTGTGCAAGCATAAGACGCTTACCCTTCTAACCCCCCTCCTCTCTTCCTCCCTCGACTTGCTTCCTTTTCTCATTTCCACTCCCATTCCCTCCCATAATGTTTTCTCGTTGTGTCAACTCTGCTGTCCATGCCTGCATCGCTCTGCACACCCACCCACCCACCCATGCATCAGTGGAGCAGCAGTGCGGGAGAATGAGATGAAGCAACTAGAGGAGGTGAGGGGGCGATATACAGAGCATACCTGGGTACAATGTGTTCTGTTTTTGTTTGCAACCCTTCTCCCCTCCCCCCTCTTGGCTCTCTGCTTCCGCCACTGCCTCTGTGTGCAGCTCTTTGAAGGTTGAGGGAACTTTCGAGTGGACTTAAAGCCCCATCCCTTGTCTGCTCTCCACTCTCTGCCACTGTGCTCTCTCTCTGTGCAGGCCCTCGGGAGGCTGAGGGAGAGGGAGAGGCGAAGCTTGCTGCGTGCGGTACGTGCTTGTCTTTCCCCCCTGCCCAGGTGATTGGGTGTGCCCAGGTATGCCCAGGTGTGCCACTCTGCTTTGCGTGCTGCACGCCCTCGGGAGGCTGAGGGAGAGGGAGAGGCGAAGCTTGCTGCGTGTGGTATGTGCTCGGGTGTCCAGGTGTCAAGGTGCCCAAGTGTCCAGGTGCCAAGCTACCCAAGTGTCCAGGTGTCTCCAGGTGCTCAGGTGCTCAGGTGCTCAGGTGCTCAGGTGTGCTCAGGTGTGCTCAATTCCTGAGGTGTCTAAGAGCCTTCCCCCTAGTCCATGGTCTAGAGCATCAAAAGGCTCAAGCTTTGTGAGCATCGTTTCTGTTGTCCTTCAATGCTGGTGCTCAGAGAAATGGACGCGCAACACATGACTGCTGGTTGTGTTTGTGCTGCCTCCGGTTCTGTTTGTGGTGGCAGATAGAGAAGGGCAATGCAGGAGCAGCAAACAGCGTGGCAAAGGTTTGGAAAGTCTCAAAACTGCCTTCCATCCTGCTGCCGTTGGATTTTATGTGTGGCAGATGGAGAAGGGCAATGCAGGGGCGGCAAACAGCGTGGCAAAGAAAGCAGCGAAGAAAGCAGCAGAGGGAGACGATAGTGAGGAGGATGAGGATGATGATGAGGAAGATGAGTGGGAGGAAGATGAGGGGGAGGATGAGGGAGAGAAGGATGAGAACGAGGGGGAGAAGGATGAGAACGAGGGGGAGAAGGATGAGGAGGGAGAGGAGGATGGGGAGGATGGGGATGGGGATGGGGGAGAGGCGGGGCAGGAGGATGAGGATGAGGATGATGATAGCAAGGATGCAAGCAAAGGTGTTGGAACAGCGGACGGTGCTGAGACTAAGAAAGACGACAACACATGAGCTGATTCTTTAATCGACTAAAAGTCGATGGGACAGCTGGTGATCGACGACAAGGGTATCAGTTCGGGGCAGAGGGTTGATACTGCCGAACAGAGAAACTTCAGTGCAATGTAAGGGGGGCATTAAAGTGTATGCAGAGAGTAATTGAATATTCTGACATATTGTGTAAGGAATGTTCAATGTAGCTAGTAGGTAGCTGACCAATCTACTAGTTTTTTGGAATGGTACACATGGATTTACTTCCTCCACACCACAATTACAGCTTCACCTGGGTATAACGGTAAGTATCTATCAACAAGTTTTATATGTACACCACACTCATTTCAGACAGATGACCACCAGCCAAACCCATCGTCTCCTCCCCCACCACCACACACCCCACCCTGAGTGGTGTGGCACATCACATGAAGCTATCATTCAGCACTAAACCACCTGCCATGGTCACTAACAGTCATCTCGGAATGGTCACTCAAGAGTAATCACAGAGGACTGGGCCGGACGCCCAGCCACCCCCATGCCACGCTCCTTCCCCATTTTCTCCCCTTCCTTCTTCCCCTCCACCCCTCCCCCTCCCCCCATAACCACAGACGGCACACCCCCTGTCTCCTGCCCCCCCTTCCCCATCCCCATGCTCTCCAGCTCAACTGCCCTCATCTCAGTCACCCACCCCTTGCCACTCTCCATCCACCAGTCCGCCGCCCGGTCCTTCCCCGTCGCCGCCCACTCTTTGTCCACTAGCGCCGCCCGCTGCTCCCGCTTCTCCCCCGTCTCTATCCACAACGCCGCATCCCTCTGCTCCACCAGAGCACGAGAAACACGACCCAAGGGGTGGTCTTGGGGGGAGAGCATGAGGGCAGGGGGGCCGAGGGGGAGAGGGTCCCCCCTGTCAAATTGCCAGGTATTCCAGAATTTGCCGTACGTCTTAATGAGTTTCTTCAGCTCCTGCTGCTGCATGGTCTCTGGCACCCCCGGGTTCACCCACAGGCCCTCACAGATCTGCCACGCAGACGAAGAGGGGGAGAGGGGTGGGAGGAGAGTGAACAAAGGGATGTCTTGACAAGTTTCGCTCCTGCTGTTGCATGGTCTCTGGCACCCCCAGGTTCACCCACAAGCCGTCACAGATCTGCAGGAGAGACAGGGAAGAGCGGCAAAGGAGAGTAAAAGAAAAGAGACTCCATTTCTTGCACCCCGGGATTCATCCACTGGCCGTCACAGGTATGCTCATGAGTTAGAAGCAAGAGCAGGGCAGCGGGGATGGAAACAGGCATGTGAGGGGATATGCAATGGAAGATGCATGACCAGTGAGAGGAAGAGGCATGCGAGGATGGCATGACATATGCAAGAAATTCTGTAACAGCGTGAAACCAGAACCAACCCAGGTTGGTGGTGCATGCAAACACAAGAGAAGAATCACACGCCATGTCTAGCCATGGCTAAAGCGTTAGCCAACTTTTGAGAAAAATCACAAGCATCAGCGATCAGCAATGATTTTCAGCCATGCATGCGTAAGTACTTTCCTCATAGTAGTGCGAGTGCCACAGGTGCTTCTCCTCCTCCTCCAGTGCATGTTCCGAACATGCATGCACACCACATGCACACCACATGCACACCACATGCATGCTCACCTCATAGTAGTGCGAGTGCCACAGGTGCTTCTCCTCCTCCGGAAGCTTCTTGAACACCGCCTCGGTTACGATGTACTCCACTCCTGCAGGGTGATGGGTTGGGGCGACACAGGCTTTAACTGCAGTCGAGCCCTTCATTCTTGAACACCGCCTCGGTTACGATGTACTCCACACCTGGAGGGTGATGGGTGATTGATGGGTTGGCGCGACACAAACAGAGCATTCAAGTTTTCCATGAGGAAAGAGGGGATAGGACAGGAGGGGAGGGGAGGGGAGGGGAGGGGAGGGGAGAGCAGAGAGGTGAGGAGAGGAGAGAGGAGAGGACAGGAGAGGAGAGAGGAAAGGACAGGAGTCGAGACGAGACGAGAGGAGAGGAGAGGAGAGGAGAGGAGAGGAGAGGAGAGGAGGGACTACGCGAGGAAAAAGGGAAACTTTCAAATGACTGAACTTACCAACGATGCGAGCGTTGGGCTGGTCAGAGTCAAACACGATGCACTGAAGAACATCCTCTGTGAGTCGCGCCACGAGGTGGTGCGTCTCGATCATGCGCCCAGGGCTCTGCGCGTAGTGCGCCCACGTGCTCACGTGCTGGCAGAAGGACTTTAGCGGGCGGAAGGACTGCAGGAGAGAGGCAGTCGTCTCGAGGGCGGATGTTGCCATGGAAGGGGCCTCTCCCGGCACCTGGGAGGGGGGAGCGCAAGGTTGAGAGAGGGAACGGAGCGGGGAGTACAGAGCAGTGTGTGACACCAGGGCTCTGCGCGTAGTGCGCCCACGTGCTCACGTGAAGGCAGAAGGCCTTTAACGGGCGGAAGGACTCCAGGAGAGATGCAGTTGTCTCGAGCGCGGACGTTGCCATGGAAGGGGCCTCTCCCGGCACCTGATGGGAACAGTTCAAGGGAGGGGACGGGCAGGGAGGGTAACACTGACTCTCACGTGCTCACGTGCTGAGGAAGGGGTTGTCTCACGTGCTCACGTGCTGGCAGAACGACTTGAGGAGGGAGGCGGTTGTCTCGAGGGCGGATGTTGCCTTAGAAGGGGCCTCTCCAGGGACCTGGGGGAGGGAAAAAGGGAGGGGAAAAGATCGGAGTGGGGAGGAAGGAGCAGTGTGTGACACCCACAAAAGATTGGGCTCTGTGCGTAGTGCGCCCACGCGCAGGCGGTTGCCTTCGAGGGCGGATGTTTCCATGGAAGGGGCCTCTCCCGGCACCTGGGGAAGGCGGTGGGCGGGAGGGGCGTGGGGGCATGGGGTACGGGGGGATGGGCGCGGGGAAGAGGATGACACAATCTGCGCCCACGTGCTCACGTGCTAGCAGAAGTGAGTGGGCGGAACGACAGCAGAAGAGAAGCTGTGTCGCGAGTGCGGATGTTGCCATAGAAGGGGCCTCGCCCGGCACCTGGGAGGGGGGAAAAGGAAGAATGGTAGAGAGAAAAGAGAGAGTGGCAAAGCGGGAATGGTCGTGGAGCAGTGAGTAGTCACGTGATGACAGGAATAGAGCGGCTGCAAGGACTATTTTTTGTACAATCGATTTTCAAAAGTTACAGCAGCGTGGGGGTGAACATGCGGGCGCGAGTCCCCATGGAAGGCGCGTCGCCCGGCAAGGGGGGATTGTATGCGGAGGGGGAAGGGCAAGGGGGGAGAGTGTTGGGGAGGGGGAAGGGCAAAGGGGGAGAGTGTTGGGGGGTGGGCGGGAGCACGGCTGGCGGAGAGGATGGGGAGTGAAAGGGGTGTGCAACGGGAGGGAGGAGATACTGCCGCGCCTACCTCTTCAGGGCGGGACGGGGAGGGCGACTTCTCGGGCGCGCGAGTGCTGGTCGCCATGCCGCCGTATGCTACTGCTGCTACTGCACTTGCACCTGCACGTGCTCTGTTCGGTGTCTGACTGACTGCTTAGCTCGCAGTACCAGGTGAAATCACGAGGTGAAACAAATGCAACAACCACGTCACTGCGCTGGAAGGCTAAACTTTGCCAAGGCCGAGAGATCTACTCAGCGCAGTGGGAGAATGTTTTTGGAAGGACAACCAAACACGCTTAGCGAGAGAGCCTGAGGACACTCGCAGGGGAATAAGAGGGCCAGCTTTTTGCGCGCTCATGGGGCCTGCGCGCGATTCTGCTGGAGGAATTTCCTGCGCCATCGATGCCTCCTCCTGCGAGTTCGCGCCGCATCTCATCATGCAGCCCCGATGCCTCCGACTCGCGTTTGATTTCCTCATTCGCGATGATTGGCGAATGGACGCGGCGCGATGTACCCGCCCGCGGTGCCGCATTTGATTGATGCGTATGAATTAGTGTCCTTCAACAAACTTCGCGTGACTCTGTCCTCGAATGCACGGGCCAGCTATGAGGGTGCCCGACTCGGTGACACGTGGTCCAGATTTTTAATTTCCGTACTCATGATATCGACCTCGGTAGAATACAAGCTGGACGTAAAAGCGCTGCTCAGGAACTAAAACAGATGTGAAATGTTTCTTCGAAGTTGTTATTCAAACCTCAGTATAGACTGGCAAGGTTCACATCCCTTGGAAATATTATGTGCACTCCACCACACCACAACACTACCCCACCCACCCACTCTTCATCAAGCCCGTTCGGCCGATCCATTAGTATAGCAGTTACCCAGATTCCTCTACTTCAAGGCTCCACTACACCTCCCCTCCCCATCCGGTCATCATCAGAATGACTCAGCCGACCCAGCAGTATACCAGATGAGGGACTAGGCAGCAGCCTCCTGGCAGCTCTCATACAGATACAAATACTCCAGCCACGAGCACGACACCAGCAGCTCACAAAACACCACTCCACTCCACTCCACTCCAGTTCCCCACCCGGTAGGCATCAACTGCAGCCGCCCCACACGCAACTCACGGCCCATTTATCCTCAAATCCCCTCAGCCGACCCAGCAGCGTAGCAAGCGGTTTCCTCTTCTTCTTGGCAGCAGCCTTCCTCAGATCAGCCATGGTGAATTCATGCCCCTCCTGGCAGCTCTCATACAAATACACATACTCCAGCGACGAACACGACTCCAGCACCTCACAAAACACCACTCCACTCCACTCCACTCCACTCCACTCCATTTCCCCACCCAGTAGTCACCAACTGCAGCTGCAGCCGCAACTCACCACCCACTCGTCATCAGATCCCTTCAGCCGAGCCAGCAGCGTAGCAAATCAGCGGTTTCCTCTTCTCCTTGGCAGCAGCCTTCCTGAGATCAGCCATGGTGAATTCATGCCCCTCCTGGCAGCTCTCATACAGATACACATACTCCAGCGACGAACACGACCCCAGCAGCTCCAGCAACGCCTCAAAATACCTATGCGCACACAGCCCGATTGAAAAAACTTTCAGCTTCGGGCAGCTGGAAGAAAGAACCTTCACCAGGTCAGGCAGGTCGGCGCGGTCGTCTCGCTCGCAGAAGGGCAGGATGAGGGTTTCCAGGGAGGTCCAGTGGCGGGCGGCGGAGACGAGGGAGATGTATGTGAGGGAGTGGGCGAGGGCGAATACGTTGAGATGGGTGAGGTTGGGGTTGAGTGCTGCTAGTGCCACCAGGCCTGCGTCTGTGATGTCTGCGTTGCAGCGGATGAGCAGCGAGCGCAGCGAGGGGCACGATCGGCCCACCTCCTCTAAAGTCTCGTTGGTGGCCCACTGGGGGACGGAGGAGAGGGGGTGGGAAGGAGGCGGGGGAGGGAAGATGGTGGTAATGTAAGGGGTTGGGAGCATCACAGTCTTGACACATCATCAACACACACATACATCGCATCCCCTCGCAAGCAGAATCTTTGCCCTTGTTGCACCCCATCCATCAACCCACCTTTGTTCATGACATGCATGGAGTCCCGGCAAGCAGCAGTCACATCTCCAAGAACCCTCAGCTGCTTGCACTTCCCCGCTACCGCCTCCACCCCCACCACCGTCACATGCGAAGGCGGCTGGGACGTCCTAGAAGCACCCCACCTTGTTAGTATTCAGCCCACCCATCAGCGCACCTTGTTCATGACATGCATGGAGTCTCGGCAAGCCGCAGTCACATCCCCCAACACGCGCAGCTGCTTGCACTTCCCCGCCACCGCCTCCACCCCCACCACCGTCGCATGCGAAGGCGGCTGGGACGTCCTAGAAGCACCCCACCTTGTTAGTATTCAGCCCACCCATCAGCTCACCTTGTTCATGACATGCATGGAGTCTCGGCAAGCCGCAGTCACATCCCCCAACACGCGCAGCTGCTTGCACTTCCCCGCCACCGCCTCCACCCCCACCACCGTCGCATGCGAAGGCGGCTGGGACGTCCTAGAAGCACCCCACCTTGTTAGTATTCAGCCCACCCATCAGCTCACCTTGTTCATGACATGCATGGAGTCTCGGCAAGCCGCAGTCACATCCCCCAACACGCGCAGCTGCTTGCACTTCCCCGCCACCGCCTCCACCCCCACCACCGTCGCATGCGAAGGCGGCTGGGACGTCCTAGAAGCACCCCACCTTGTTAGTATTCAGCCCACCCATCAGCTCACCTTGTTCATGACATGCATGGAGTCTCGGCAAGCCGCAGTCACATCCCCCAACACGCGCAGCTGCTTGCACTTCCCCGCCACCGCCTCCACCCCCACCACCGTCGCATGCGAAGGCGGCTGGGACGTCCTAGAAGCACCCCACCTTGTTAGTATTCAGCCCACCCATCAGCTCACCTTGTTCATGACATGCATGGAGTCTCGGCAAGCCGCAGTCACATCCCCCAACACGCGCAGCTGCTTGCACTTCCCCGCCACCGCCTCCACCCCCACCACCGTCACATGCGAAGGCGGCTGGGACGTCCTAGAAGCACCCCACCTTGTTAGTATTCAGCCCACCCATCAGCGCACCTTGTTCATGACATGCATGGAGTCTCGGCAAGCCGCAGTCACATCCCCCAACACGCGCAGCTGCTTGCACTTCCCCGCTACCGCCTCCACCCCCACCACCGTCACATGCGAAGGCGGCTGGGACGTCCTAGAAGCACCCCACCTTGTTAGTATTCAGCCCACCCATCAGCGCACCTTGTTCATGACATGCATGGAGTCTCGGCAAGCCGCAGTCACATCCCCCAACACGCGCAGCTGCTTGCACTTCCCCGCCACCGCCTCCACCCCCACCACCGTCGCATGCGAAGGCGGCTGGGACGTCCTAGAAGCACCCCACCTTGTTAGTATTCAGCCCACCCATCAGCTCACCTTGTTCATGACATGCATGGAGTCTCGGCAAGCCGCAGTCACATCCCCCAACACGCGCAGCTGCTTGCACTTCCCCGCCACCGCCTCCACCCCCACCACCGTCGCATGCGAAGGCGGCTGGGACGTCCTAGAAGCACCCCACCTTGTTAGTATTCAGCCCACCCATCAGCTCACCTTGTTCATGACATGCATGGAGTCTCGGCAAGCCGCAGTCACATCCCCCAACACGCGCAGCTGCTTGCACTTCCCTGCTACCGCCTCCACCCCCACCACCGTCGCATGCGGCCCCACATACACCTCCTCCACCACCGCACACCACCGCGCTACCTCCCTCAGCATCCCATCCGTCGCCCCCAGCAGCGGGGGACCAGACGCCCCCGGGGTTTCGATCTTGAGGTTGCCCAGGTCGAGGTAGGTGAGGAGGGGCAGGGAGGAGAAGGCGCGTTCTAGCAGGCGCGGGTTGCCCTTGACGGTCTGAGAGATGACCAGATGGCGCAGGGCGGAGCACTGGGCGAGCTCCTGAGTTAGCATCTGAAGAAAGTGGGGGCGGGAGGAGAGGGAGGCAGGAAAGGACGGGGTACAAGGAAAAGGCACGTGTTAGGAGAGGAGGGTTTCCCTTGACGGTCTGGCAGATGACCAGATGGCGCAGGGCAGAGCACTGGGCGAGCTCCTGGATTAGCATCTGTAGGGGGGCAGACAGGAGAAGGGGTAAAGGGTGAGAAATGTGAGGGGAAGGGAGGAGGGGAAGGAGGGGGCGGATGGGAGAGGGGGACCAGACGCCCCCGGGGTTTCGATCTTGAGGTTGCCCCGGTCGAGGTAGGTGAGCAGGGGCAGGGAGGAGAAGGCGCGTTCTAGCAGGCGCGGGTTGCCCTTGACGGTCTGAGAGATGACCAGATGGCGCAGGGCGGAGCACTGGGCGAGCTCCTGAGTTAGCATCTGAAGAAAGTGGGGGCGGGAGGAGAGGGAGGCAGGAAAGGACGGGGTACAAGGAAAAGGCACGTGTTAGGAGAGGAGGGTTTCCCTTGACGGTCTGGGAGATGACCAGATGGCGCAGGGCAGAGCACTGGGCGAGCTCCTGGATTAGCATCTGTAGGGGGGCAGACAGGAGAAGGGGTAAAGGGTGAGAAATGTGAGGGGAAGGGAGGAGGGGAAGGAGGGGGCGGATGGGAGAGGGGGACCAGACGCCCCCGGGGTTTCGATCTTGAGGTTGCCCAGGTCGAGGTAGGTGAGCAGGGGCAGGGAGGAGAAGGCGCGTTCGAGAAGGCGCGGGTTGCCCTTGACGGTTTGGGACATGACCAGATGGCGCAGGGCAGAGCACTGGGCGAGCTCCTGGGTTAGCATCTGAAGAAGAGGGTCGGGGGGAAAGGGAAGGGAAGGGAAGGGAAGGGAAGGGAAGGGAAGGGAGTGGGGAAGGGAGGGGAGGAGGGGAAGGAGGGGATGGGTAATGGTTTGTTGCGGCACGACGAGAGGGGAGGTAGGTGAGGGGGACCAGACGCCCCCGGGGTTTCGATTGAGGTTGCCCAGGTCGAGGTAGGTGAGCAGGGGCAGGGAGGAGAAGGCGCGTTCTAGCAGGCGCGGGTTGCCCTTGACGGTCTGGGAGATGACCAGATGGCGCAGGGCAGAGCACTGGGCGAGTTCCTGGGTTAGCATCTGAGAAAAGTAGGGGAGCGGAAGGGGGAAGGGGGGGAGGCGGAGGAAGGAGTAGGCAGGCTTTAGGAGAGGAGGGTTGCCCTTGACGGTCTGGGAGATGACCAGATGGCGCAGGGCAGAGCACTGGGCCAGCTCCTGGGTTAGCATCTGAGAAAAGTGAGGGAGCGGAAGGGGGAAGGGGGGGAGGCGGAGGAAGGAGTAGGCAGGCTTCAGGAGAGGAGGGTTCCCCTTGACGGTCTGGGAGATGACCAGATGGCGCAGGGCAGAGCACTGGGCCAGCTCCTGGGTTAGCATCTGTGGGCGGGAGGTTGTGGGGGAAGAAGGAGGAGAATGGGCGGAGCGGAGGTAAGGGTGGGAAAGGGAAGGGTGGGAAAGGGAAGGGTGTCGAAAGTGGGAAATGGGGAGTGTAGAGGGTGGGAAGGATGGAATGGAGGTTGGGAAAGGTGGGAATGGAGTGGTGAAGTATGGGGCGATTGGGTGAGCTGAGAGAAAAGAGGAGAGAGAGACGAGAGACGCTGGGAATACGTACTGTGGAACAGGTAAAACAGCCTATCACCAAGAACCAAAGCAACTTCTGAGCCGACTCAAAAGGCACCCTTGTTGAACAGGCAAAACAGTCTATAACCAAGTACCAAAGCAGCAGACCTTTCACGGCGATGATCCCTTGGTTCACTTTGCGCTATTCCCTTGATTACCTGACTCCCTTGCCCCTCCTGCCTCTCACCTTGATGGAGATCTCCTTTGCGATATTCTCAATGTTGGTAACGTTACGTCCCCCCTCCAGGATCAGAGACTGCAGCGACGCCCCACACTTGTCAAAGAACCCAATCCGCATGAACTCAGCTCCAACCCCTCCTCTCCCACCCCCCACTCCCTCCCCTACACCCGCCACCTCTCCTCCTCCCCCCCCTCCTCCCACCACCTCCTCTTCCTCCATCGTATCCCACACCTTCGGCCCGCCCCCCCCTCCCGAGCGCCCTCTGCCTGACTTTGACCCCGCGCCACCATCCCGGGAAAATTTACTCGCGGGTTTTTCCGAGCCGGGAAACCCGGGGGTAGTTTCCCCGCCTGGGGTGATTACCCCGCCAGGAGTCGCCATACCCGGAGTTGCAACAGCCGGGGTAGTAACACCGGGAGTTGAAACCGAACCGCTGGCACTGAAACTCCCACTCTGCATATTCACAGCACCGCCACCGCCACCACCCGCTCCCCCTTCCCCTCCCGCTCCCCCACCCCCACCCGCGCCCACAAACCCTCCCGCATACCCCATCCCCGTTTTAGGCAGCCCCTCTAGCAGGAAGTGCGAGTCGACAAACTCCAGATTCACCCAGGGCCGTTGATTTAGGATCCGTTTGAGATGCAGCAGCTCGAGCACGTGCAGTTCCCTAAAGTCATAGAGCCTATCGGCGGAGCAGGGGCGGCGGTAGAGCGAGCAGTTGAGGGAGAGCGAGGTGACGCGCGGGAAGAAGGCGAGGGGGAGCGACTCGAGGAAGCGCGACGGCTGGGAGAGGTCCAGGTGGGTCACTGCGCGGCGGGAACGCTTCTCCAGCCAGAACCAGCGTGGGGAGACCTGGGGGGGGCACCAATGGTGTGGTAAGGGAAGGAGGGAAGTGAGGGAAGGGGAGAGGTGGAGGAAGCGCGACGACTGAAAGAGGAGACAGAGAGAGACCTGGGAAGAAGTATTTTTATTTATGACAGGGCCGGCAAGCGATACATTGAAAAATGACCATGAAAAGGAAAGAAACCATTCCCAATGTCATAAAAAACATGGTAATGACTCTTATGAAAATGACAATGCTGTAGTTTTGAAGGGCATTACCAGCGCGCACGACGCTGGCTGCCCTTCAAAATGACAAAGGGCATTACCAGCGCGCACGACGCTCGGTCTTTTGGCGATTCCACGCGCATCAGAATCTTAAGCAGCACCGGATCCGGCACGTTATTTAGCGACGGCGGCGCGGCCGGCGCCGCGCCCGGCGTCGCCGCCGCAGCCGCCGCATTATCCGCGTCCCGAAACGACGACGTCCCGGGCCTTCCGGCCGTGCGCGCTCCGCCAATCCACTTCCGGCTCCGATTGGTCAGATTCTTCAAGAAATCGTCGTGGCTGGAAGACGCGGCCGACGGGGCGACCGGCGCGCCGTCGCTATGCGCGGCGACGGCAGCGGAGATCGCCCAGTCGTCCATGGGGACAAGCCGGCCCGACGCGGGGTGCAGGACGGCCGGCACGCTCCACCGCTTGGCGGCATTACGGAGAGTGCGCGCGCGCGGAGGCTCCTCCGCTTCCATGATGCGAGGGGAGCGAGAGGAGGGTTGCGGAATGCCGGCGGAACTTTGGCGGAAATTCTAGCGTTGAAGGACTCTGAGAGAAGGACCACAGAGATTTCGAAACGCGTGGTTTTCACCGTAATGGCAGACAATGTGAGCTGCCGTGCGCTCGACACCTAGTCTTCAGAGAACGAAAGACCTGACAACTATGTCCAGCAGCTGGGCTGACATTTATCACGCCTCCCCACAAGTAGCTTTCCCTGGCAAATTCGAGGCTCAGCGACCTCAAGGCTCGGTTGGTGACCAAGGCACTTGATCTGGCAAAGACTTGTTACCATTTTATCGCCATCGGGAATGCAGCAGCGACGAAGAGCTTTGCGAATGAAGCTGTTTCGTGACTGGATAAAGTTGAAAGATCTTGAACTACACGATGGATACTTGAACCAGTAGGAACACATTACCATACTAAATAGAGAACAGCAAAAAGTAGCATTAACAGGTGCCACTTTTTTATCAATGCATGATTCCTACTAGTGCTTCCTTAGTGGCTCCTATAACGATGCAAGGACCACTTCACGCATCAACGACACAGGAGCTGAAAAGCATGCACACAGGGGGGTGGGGGGTACAACAGAAAAAGGGAGTGGGTACATCAACACAAGCTTATCAAACAAACGACACAAGGGCGCAAACAAGATAACGCATGGCGTAAGCTTAAAACTTTAATATCCATACGTATGAAAGTACACCCACCTGGCTTTCCGGTGAAGAGCTCGAATTGTCGAGCCGCCTGGCCAACAAACATCTCGACGCCGCTGACCGTTGCAGCTCCTGCCTGCTTCGCCTCTTTGAGCAGACGGGTTTCCATGGGGGTGTAGACCGCATCAAAGACCAGACTGCACTCCTGCAACACAGCCTGTATGGGAACACACGAAAGAAAAGGATACCGAAATGTGTTAGTGGAAGTGTGATCGTTGAGGCTCCTGCCTGCTTTGCATCCTTGATCAAGCGGGGTCTTCATGGGGGTGGGTGCCGCGTCAAACACCAGACTGCACTCCTGCAACACAGCCTGCTTGGGAACATGCAAAAGGGAAACATCGACATATGTTGGTGGATGTGTGACAGTTGTGGAAGTGTGACAATAAGAGAAGGGTGACAATAAGAGAAGGGTGACAATAAGAGAAGGGTGACAATAAGAGAAGGGTGACAATAAGAGAAGGGTGACAATAAGAGAAGGGTGACAATAAGAGAAGGGTGACAATAAGAGAAGGGTGACAATAAGAGAAGGGTGACAATAAGAGAAGGGTGACAATAAGAGAAGGGTGACAATAAGAGAAGGGTGACAATAAGAGAAGGGTGACAATAAGAGAAGGGTGACAATAAGAGAAGGGTGACAATAAGAGAAGGGTGACAATAAGAGAAGGGTGACAATAAGAGAAGGGTGACAATAAGAGAAGGGTGACAATAAGAGAAGGGTGACAATAAGAGAAGGGTGACAATAAGAGAAGGGTGACAATAAGAGAAGGGTGACAATAAGAGAAGGGTGACAATAAGAGAAGGGTGACAATAAGAGAAGGGTGACAATAAGAGAAGGGTGACAATAAGAGAAGGGTGACAATAAGAGAAGGGTGACAATAAGAGAAGGGTGACAATAAGAGAAGGGTGACAATAAGAGAAGGGTGACAATAAGAGAAGGGTGACAATAAGAGAAGGGTGACAATAAGAGAAGGGTGACAATAAGAGAAGGGTGACAATAAGAGAAGGGTGACAATAAGAGAAGGGTGACAATAAGAGAAGGGTGACAAATCTGTCATGCTGCCCATCCACCAGGAGCAGAACATTCCCACATTGTTTACCTTGCTGACAGGAGTATCATTCATGTGAGGGTGCATCCCCACACAAGTCGTATTCGCCAGCACAGCACGTCCACTCCTCCTTAGTCGGTTTAAAAGACAACTGCACGCATTTCTCACCTTGCTGACAGGAGTATCGTCCACATGAGGATGCATCCCCACAGACGTAGTATTCGCCAGCACAGCACGCCCACTCCGCCCTCTCTGCATCTCCTGCAGCACCGCCGCCAGCTCATCGCCGCCCGCTGCCACGTCAACAGAACCAGACGGCAAAGGCAAGGCAGTGCCGCCCACAGCCGCAGCCAGCGCCTCCGCCTTGCCATAGCTCCTATTCGTTATAATCACATCCGCACCCTTTGCTTTGGCACCAAAAGCCAAAGCCCTCCCCGCACCCCCCGCCCCCACAACCACAAAGAGACGGCCGGCAAGGGGAGAGGAGGAAGCTTCCGCGCTGCTACTGCTGCTGCTGCCTCCCTCTGCCTGCCTGAGCCCGTCCTCTATGGCCTCTATAGCCGCCATGCAGTCTGTGTTGTACCCCATCAGCCGCCCATCTTCTCCCCGAATGATGGTGTTGGCAGCGCCTATGCTCTGATGGGTAGACAGAGGGAGGGAGATGGGAAGAGAAGGGGGGAGGAGACTTTGATGAGAGGCGAAAAAACTTCTGTGTAGCTGCTGCTTCCCTCTGCCTGCCTGAGCCCGTCCTCAATGGCCTCTATGGCCGCCATGCAGTCTGTGTTGTACCCCTTCAGCCGCCCCCCCTCCCCCCGAAGAATGGTGTTTGCAGCACCTATGCTCTGCCAAGGGGAACCCACATGCAAATAGGTGGTGGAGAGAGGGAGGGGGAGTATATGCACTTGACGCCGACATGTGTCTTCTAGATGAGACGGGACGTGTGCCACATTCACTGCATTGAACAATGGAATGGAATTGAGCAATGCCATGCACCTCTTGACAAGAGACACGGGGCGGTGCGGTGGTAAGGAGGGATGGAGACACAGAATGGTGTGCTGTGCGTGTCACAGGAGCGCACAAGGATATATACCAGGAAAGAAGGTCATATCCGCAAGAGTACACGAGAGAGGTCACTACTGCAGGGTCACCTTGGCTAGAGGCTCCACATCTTGGCAGCACTCCAACGCCGCGAGCTTGTGGGGAATGGTCACACTGGGATGATGGGAGAGACGGTGTGGGAAGGGGTGAGCGGTGAAGGGGGAAGGGGAAGGGAGGCGAATGATGGGGGTGGGAAAGAGAGGGGGGAGGCGGGAGGTTCCACATCTCGGCAGCACTCCAACGACGCGAGCTTGTGCGGAATGGTCACACTGGGGTGATGGGGACGAGAAGGGGGCGGGAGGTGTTGTGGTGGGGAAGTAATTGGGGGGGGGGGGAGGGGGGTGGTTGTTAGGAGAGTTGGGAAAAACAAGAGGTGGGGGTGGGGTGAGGGTTAGGTGAGGAGAACGGGGAGGAGAAGCGAGGGGAACGCATACAGGGCACTGTTGGATAGTTTTGAGGCGCCGCAAAACGAAACTAAACTTTTGAGGCGCCTCAAAACTAGAAGCGAGGGGGACAGCTAGTGGGGAACGCATACAGGGCACTGTTGGATGGAGAAAGAGGGAGGAAGAAGAAAGCAGAGACAACATGAGAGACCCTGGTCCATTCCACCTCCACCCCCACCCACCTGAATCCCTTGAAGTCCGGGCTGTCAAACGCCTTGAGAAACCCCGGCACGTCGTCCACCAGGAAGGGCGCATACACGACACGCCGTCATACCCCACATGGCGCAGCGCAGCACTGTGCACCACAGGGCCCTTGCTGTGCCATACAATCACCTCTTTCCCACTCTCTCAACCCACCTGAACCCCTTGAAATCGAGGCTGTCAAAGGTCTTGAGAAACTCTGCTACACCATCCACGAGGAACGGCACGTACACGCCGTCATACCCCACATGCCACCAATATTACCACCTCCATGCACCACTCTCGACCCACCTGAACCCCTTGAAGTCCGGGCTGTCAAACGTCTTGAGAAACTCCGGCACATCGTCCACGAGGAACGGCACGTACACGCCGTCATACCCCACATGCCTCAGCGCTGCATTGTGCAGCACAGGGCCCTTGCTGTGCCCCACCGGGTTCCCCACCAGCCCAAACACGTGCGTTGCCGGCCCCACCGAAGCCAGCCTGTACGTGCCCGCCAGCTCAGCGACCGTCGGCTGACCTGGCGCTGACTCAGCGCCAGGGGTGATCGCCCCGAAGGTGAGGAAGGCGTTGAATTTGGGCGCGAGGAGGCGGCTGATGAGGCCCTTGGGGCCCATCACCAATGCGATTGTGGGGCGCTGGGGGGGGGAAGGGAACGAGGGATGGAGGGTGGGGGAAGGGGGGCGGAGAGAGTGCAAAGCAGATGCCATTGCCTTTGTGGGGGTTGGGGGAAGAGGGGAGTGTAAGGCAGGGCAGACGTCATTGAATTTCGGTGCGAGGAGACGGCTGATGAGGCCCTTGGGTCCCATTACCAGCCCTATGGTGGGGCGCTGGGGGGGGTTAGAGGGGGAAGAGGGGAGAGGGGAAGGGCGTGAGCCTTGAGCAGGCGACTGGTGAGGCCCTTGGGTCCCATTACCAGTGCTATGGTGGGGCGCTGGGGAGAATGGGGGGGGCAGGGATGAGGAATGGAGATTGGCGGAGAGGGTTAGGTAAGGCCGAGCCGACAATCCAGAGCAGGAGTCATCACAAGGAGTCATCACAAGGAGTCATCACATTTGGGTGCGAGGAGGCGCCTGATGAGGCCCTTGGGTCCCGGGGGTTGGAGAGCGAGGGAGACGGGGGGGAAGGAGGGGAAGGGAAGAAGGAATGGGGAGTGGGGGGAGGGGAGTAAGGCAGAGAATGCAGAGCAGGCATCATCATAATTTCGGCGCAAAGAGGCGGTTGATGAGGCACTCGGGACCCATGACCAGAGCTGTGGTGGGGCACTGGGGCGCTGCGCTGGGGGGGGAGACGAGTACCCACTCACCCACCCACCCACCCAGCAACCCGCCCACCTGCGCCTCCTAGAGTATCTGGAACACGCGTGCATTGTCAGTGATATCAGTGGCCGTGGTGGCGAACTTGACCACGTCAGCGCCAGTCAGGGTTTCACCACCTTAAACATCACCTAAAACCAGCACCCACCCACGCACCCACCTGAGCCTCCTTGAGTATCTGGAACACGCGTGCATTGTCAGTGATATCGGTGGCAGTGGTGGCGAACTTCACAGTGTCTGCCCCAGCAGCCTCTATGCGCGCCACCAGAATTGCCTCACCCACCCACCAGCCACCCAGCAACCCACCCACCTGAGCCTCTTTCAGTATCTGGAACACGCGTGCATTGTCAGTGATATCAGTGGCAGTGGTGGCGAACTTCACAATGTATGCCCCAGCAGCCTCTATGCGCGCCACCAGAATCGCCTCACCCACCCACCAGCCACCCAGCAACCCACCCACCTGCGCCTCTTTCAGAATCTGGAACACGCGTGCATTGTCAGTGATATCAGTGGCAGTGGTGGCGAACTTCACAATGTATGCCCCAGCAGCCTCTATGCGCGCCACCAGAATCGCCTCACCCACCCACCAGCCACCCAGCAACCCACCCACCTGCGCCTCTTTCAGAATCTGGAACACGCGTGCATTGTCAGTGATATCAGTGGCAGTGGTGGCGAACTTCACAATGTCGGCCCCAGCAGCCTCTATGCGCGCCACCAGCGCCCGCAGCTCCTCCAATGGCGGGGTCACGCTGTAGTTGTGGCTCGATACAATCACACGCGTTGCAGTCACACCGTCACCAGCGGCAGCGGCAGCAGCAGCGGCGGCGGCGCGGCGGGGTGCAACGTGCTTCTGGATGAACTCGGAGGCGACCTGCGGAGGAGGGGAGGGAGAGGGGGGTGTGGGGAGAGTCACGCTGTGGTTGTGGCTCGATACAATCACACACGTTACTGTCACACCGTCATTAGCAGCACCGGCAGCAGCGACAGCGAAAGCGGGGTGCAACGTGCTTCTGGATGAAATCGGAGGCGACCTGAGGAGGAGGGGAGGGCAGATAGGAAGGTTTGGGGTGCAACGCGAGAGAGAGAGAGAGAGAGAGAATCGTGAGGCTCAGGGGAAGGAGGCTCGAGAGTCAAGATTCTAAGATGAGCTCTAACGAGTCAAGCTCTTCAATTGTTACCATTGCTAGCGACCACCCCGCCGCTGCACCCTGTACGCGTTATGGTTACCTGCAGCTCAGCGTCAATGAACTCGGCGCCCATGTTCATGTCCACGGCCATCACCTGATGCTACACCCTGTACGCGTTATAGCTACCTACCTGCAGCTCGACGTCAATGAACTCGGCGCCCATGTCCACGGCCATCGCCAGCACCTGCTGCCGCTGCATAAGGTGTTACCCTTTGCGGACATGCCCACTCCCTGTACGCGTTATAGTACCTGCAGTTCGACGTCAATGAACTCAGCTCCCATCTCCATGGCCATCGCCAGCACCTGCTGCCGCGTCTCCTCGTCTGGATCCGAGTACTTACCGCCCTCACACGTGGGGCTGCACGGGGTGATAGGGACGTTGCATGGTGATTATCCTAGGGGTAAGAGGTATGGAAACTGTTCTCTCCTCGTCCGGGTCCGAGTACTTGCCACCCTCCCACGTGGGGCTGCATGGGGGGTTAGGGACGTTGGGCGTGGGGTTAAAGGTTGAAACTGGAAGAAAGGTTGGGCTTGGGGAAAGGAACGGTATGAGTGGTAGGACGACTAGCAGCGCGCTGACAGCATTCTAGTGATAGCATGAGAGCAGCAGGATAAAGGAACAAGTTTCGAGGCGCCTCAGAGGAGGAACGGTATGAGTGGTAGGACGACTAGCAACGTGCTGTCAGCAGCATTCTAGTGACAGGATGGCAGCACTTTAGCAGGATAAGGGAGCATACCGGCATGTGACAATAACGGGCAGGCAGCGATCGTTTAGGAGCGCAGGGAGGTCAACGCTCGGGTCAAACTCGGTCAAATGGTCAACGCGGAGCTCCGCCGTGTCCGCTCCCGCCGCCTTCGCTTGCGCCATCTGCTCGCGCATTCCCCCCACCGTCGTCGCCGTCACCGCTGCGCAGATCCTGCACCCGCTGCGCGAATCCACGTCACCCGCAGACGCGTTGACGTCAGTCGCCGAAGCTGCCGCGTCAGCCATGGTTCCTGTTGACGTGGGCAAGTCGACGGCCGTGGATGCTCGACACGCGGGGGATCGCTGAGGAGTAACGGTAGCGCGGACGGCAATTAAAGGTAGCAAGGCGGCGCGGGATGCGGAAGAAAGGGAGGGCTTTGCGGCGTTGGTGGGAGACACTGTGGGTGCCGCGAGCGAGGGGAGTAGGGCTGTGCTGAGACGAAACGCAACAGCCATTGGGAAAAGAGGAATAATAACCCCTGAAATCCCTAACGATATACTGTTGCTGCCCGTGTGCCCGCACGTGTGGGGGCTGCTTGCTGCCTGCTTGCTAACAACTTCTGGTAACTCAACCCTAGAATGCTAGCAGAAGCAGCGAATGGAGGAAGAGGAGAGAAAGGCAGGCGACAAACGAGGCAGCTGTGCTGTAAATAGCAGCTTGAAAATCTCAAAGGCATACAAGCCTGTAACACTAGGACCAGCTTTGTTCGCCCGAAGGGGAGTTTTTTTCTGGCGAACTTTCGCTTCGCTGCAGATGCAATTATGGAGTCGGGTTACAAAATTGCTCGCACAGAAACACAATTGCCCCACCGCACATTTCTCATTCCCATATTCCTGCCTGGAGACCTCGATTTCATTCTACGCACTCGCAGCTCACACTCCCCGCGATGACGTCTCTCGTTGGCTATGACTATGATTCGGACGACTCCGATCAGGGGGAGCGCGGCGCGCAGGAACCAGCGGAAGGACCGGCGCAGGCCGGTCCAACACAGCGCGCCGAACCAGGGAGGGTTGATGCAGCTGAAATCGGAGGTTCCGCAAAATCTTTCGTGGGTCATCCAGATTCTCGCCAGCTTTCATGTCCTGGCAAATCAGCACTTTCTAACGCGTCAGGCCAGGGGAAAGGTTCGTCGCAACGCGTTGTCAAGCCTTCGTTGGGAATGTCCTCTAAGCCACCGATCCAGCACCTGCCAGCCAATCAGCCGTCCCGTGTGATTTTACCCAGCGCTGCGGATCTCTTAGGAGATTCCCCTGATAGTCTCAGCTTCGCTATCGGAACAGCCGGGAGAGGGGGTCCAAGTGGGAGGTTGCAAGAACCAATTGAAAGTTCCAGAAAACGAGCTGAGCCCAACCCTAACATGCTCCTTCCCAAGCCTCCGTCGAAGGCTCTGAAGGGAGGCCCGGGGGCAGGTCTGGCTGGAGGAATTGGTTCTATAAGAGGAGGAATAAGCAGAGCAGGAGCAGAGGGAAGAGGAGGAGGATCAGGTGCAGCAGCGGGGTCTGCGAATTCTTTTCTGCCGCCCCAACTCCTAGGCCGGTTAGTGCCTCCGAGTGGAATTACCGCTCCTCCTCTGTTGCTTCTCTCCTACTCGTTCCGGGCTTGATCAAACTTGCACTAGTGGTTTTTATCTTGTAGCTTCGGCCTTTCCGTGACACATGCCCTACGTCTTTCCTCAGAATTTTGAGCATCCTGCTGTGCACCTCAAGCCTCCCCTCCCATGCATCACACCCCTCCATCTCCGATGCATCACACTCCTCCCTATCCAATGCATCGCACTCCTTTCTCACGTCCTCTAATGCCCGCATCTCCTCCCAATCACTCCCCTGTGCGTCCGACAGCTCCAATGTGGCAACTGAGGACCTAGACCGCATATTCTCCAAAAAGGGGAAGCAGAAACCTTAGCTGTTACACACAAGGAGCAGCTTCGTATTCATCTGGCCCGCACCACTTGATTGGGCTTTGTACCTGTGGGATGGCAAATCTGTACACAAAGATTGTGTTTTGAGTCGAAAGAGTTGTAAGCACGCAAAAAATAAAAGCAGAACTCTCCTCCATGGTTAGGCACTGGGTGTCTGGTCAGTTTTGTGTCCTCGACCTTCACATTGTGGTGGTTTTAGATGTCTGCATAAGGTGGTATTAATTACTGTTATTTGAAACACTTGGAATTGCGTAACACTCATCGCATCGTACTTCGCCACCCACAACCACACGAATGTTCGCCATCTTTCTGCGCAAGCCCTTCGCGATTGTGCAGCTGTCTGTCCTACTTCCCTCTCATCCCAGTTTGCTCCTTGATTTTCGGTACTTGATTTTCTCTAATCAGCGTCTAGACCCCAGAACACACAACGCGGAGAGTCGATAAGAGAATCGTCAAGGTTTCTTTTCGTTTTTTTTCACGGCCGGCGGAAACCACACGAAATGTACTCCCAGCAGGGGTAAGATATTGCCGTCCTTCTATATATATTGCTGTTTTTTTATCCGCGGACTTTTTATTCTTTTTTCTTTCTGCCTACTCATGCCCTACCGCCTTTTGACATTCAATAATGCTCCGGGATTTCCGCGATTTCCCCTTTCCCGGACTCGGTTATTTTTGGGGCTCGGGTTGGGGGTTAAGATGGAGGGATGGGTGGACCAAGGGAAACAAGGGCAACGGGGAAATGGAAGGGAAGGGAAACGGGAAAACGAAAGATATGGGGAACGAGGAAGGGGAAGGGAAGGAAAATGGGAAGTTGTCATTTTTTTATTCAGATCCGCGTCTCTGTTGGAGCGTTTGTCAAGGGTTCGCACATCGCAACTTGATATTACCCACTTAATATAGATCGGACATCGCTGCTCTTTCGTGTATCGCCCAATTCGTTGTCCCCTGGATTTCACTTTCCGTCCATCTGTCATCACCTTGGGTGTTTAGACCGCTGAAGTTAAGACCATTCTTGTCTCAAAGAGACTCGCTTTGGGTGAACTGACCGTGGGGGTTTGGGTTGGGCAAGCAGGTTCGGCAATATGCCAGGAGGTGTGGGTGCTGGTTCGGGAGGCATGGCCAGCTACGGGGGAGGTTTGGGTGGTGCCGCGGCTCCGGGAGGTGGTGGTGGTGGTTCGGGCGGTTTCGGTCCGGGTGGTGCTGGTGCGGGTGCTCCTGGGGGCGGTGCGGCTGGCGCGGGTGGTCCTCCGGGCGTTGGTGGCGTGGGTTCGATTCCTGCTGGCGGCGCTGGCGCGGGTTCGGGTTTCCCCGCGGGCGCAGCACCCCCGGGCGCGCAGGGCATGGGCGGAATGGGCGCAGCGGACGCGGCCGCGCTCGCCAACATGAATCTCATGATGATGGCGGGGATGAGGGGAATGGGGGGCATGGGCGGAATGGGCGCAATGGGCGCAATGGGCGGAATGGGCGGAATGCAAGGAATGGGGGGCATGCCGGGAATGGGAGGCATGGGCGGAATGGCGGGGATGGGGGGAATGGGCGGGATGGGGGGCCCAGGGGGGGCGATGATGGGCGCGGGCGGGATGGGGATGATGGGCGGGGGTCCGGGGGCGGGGATGGGGGGGGGCGCGGGGATGATGGGCGGGGGGCGCGCAGGTGCGCGGCAGATCCCGGTGGTGAAGCTGCGCGGGCTGCCGTTCCGCGTGGAGGAGGGGGACGTGGCGGACTTCTTTGCGGGGCTCGAGATCGTGGACATTCTATTCGTGCGCAAGGAGCATCGCCTCGTGGGGGAAGCGTTTGTGCTCTTCGCCTCCACTCTCCACTCCGAGCTTGCACTACAGGTGGGTGGGCGCGAGGTGGGCGCGGGATGGGCGCGGGGGATGGACGCGGGATGGGGGCAGGTGGGATGGGGGCAGGTGGGATGGGGGCAGGTGGGATGGGGAAGGTACATGGAGGTGTTGTGTTCCGTGCCAACAAGGACCCATCGCCCCTCCCCCCCTTTGTGTCCCTCCCTGTCTTTCTTCCCTCCCCGCCCCTCCCCCACACTTGAACCAACAAGGACCTAGCTTTCCATCCTAGCTTCCCCCTTCCACCCGTACCCTCCGCCCTTGTTACCCCCTACCCCTCCCCTTCCCCCCCCACCCCCAGCGCAACAAGATGCACATGGGGCGGCGGTACATCGAGGTGTTCCGCACCAACATGGAACCAATCCCCCTTTCCCCCTTGCGTTCCCCCTGTCCTTCCCCCCCCCTTTCCCATCCCCTCCACCTCCCCCCCTCCCCATTCTCCAGCGCAACAAGATGCACATGGGGCGGCGGTACATCGAGGTGTTCCGCGCCAAGAAGGCGGAGTTTTACAACGCCATCGCCAACGAGGTGGCGCAGGACGGGGGGACCTACCACGGCGGAGGGCAAGGTGGGTGGCGTTGCGTGGCGTGTGTGTGCAGGGTGGGTGGCCTGGGAAAGGGGATAGCAAGTTGCAGCAAGGGGCGCCAAGACGGCGGAGTATTATAACGCCATTGCCAACGAGGTGGCGCAGGATGGGGGGACCTACCACGGCGGGGGCCAAGATAGGTGGCGTGGGGGAGGGCAAGGTGGGTGGGATGGGGTGGGTGGGCGATGGGGGAGGGCAAGGTGGGTGGGATGGGGTGGGTGGGCGATGGGGGAGGGCAAGGTGGGTGGGATGGGGTGGGTGGGCGATGGGGGAGGGCAAGGTGGGTGGGATGGGGTGGGTGGGCGATGGGGGAGGGCAAGGTGGGTGGGATGGGGTGGGTGGGCGATGGGGGAGGGCAAGGTGGGTGGGATGGGGTGGGTGGGCGATGGGGGAGGGTGGGAAATGGGGGAGGATGGGCCATGGGAAAGGGTTCTCAGTCACGTTTATGCCGCAACATCACAGCCAACCTTTTCTCCATCCCTTACCCTCATCCCTACCTTCCCCCCCCCCCCTCTTTCCGCCCCCACACCCCCCACCCCCACCCCTTCGTGCTCTCCCTTCTCCCCCTTCTGGTTTTTTCTGTTCACTCACTCACTCGCGTTTATGCTGCTGTCTTGCCTTGTCACAGCCAACCTTCTCTGCTTACCTTACCCCTCTCCCCCCCTCTCCCCCCCCCACCCCCCCCGCTCTGCTCTCCCTTCTCCCCCTTCTGGTTTTTCCTATTCACACAATCACTCGCGTTTATGCTGCTGTTTTGCCTTAAAAGCAGAGTACCGCAACGTCATAGCCAACTTTTCTTTTCTTCCCCCGCCATCCTTCTTCCCCCGCCATCCTTCTTCCCCCGCCATCCTTCTTCCCCCGCCATCCTTCTTCCCCCGCCATCCTTCTTCCCCCGCCATCCTTCTTGTCCCCCTCCCCGTGCTCTCCCTACTCCGCATTACACCTTTGTTGCTTATTCTGCAGAAGATAGAGGGGGGCGGGGGGAGCGGGGGTATGGGGGCGAGGGCATGGGCGGGCATGCACATGCGGCCTATGGGGGAGGCGGAGGGGGAGGGGGAGGGGGAGGGCGCGGGGCTGAGGGGGGAATAGGCCCTGCAGCGCGGGAATCAAGTATTGTGAAGATGAGGGGTCTGCCGTTCTCTGCCACCACCAAGGTGAGACGACATGGGAATGGGCGGGCATGCAATGCGCATGTTGGGGGGGTGAAAGGCAAGGAGGCGAGGGGGGGATAGGGCCGGCAGCTGGAGTCGAGTATTGTGAAGATGAGGGGTTTCCGTTCTCCGCCACTAGTAAGGTGAGACCACGTAACTTTGTGGGGTGCAGTGCAGCGCAGTGGGGTGCGGTGGGGTGGAGTGGGGTGCGGTGGGTTGCAGTGGAATGGCGCAGTGCAAATCATCACCAATGCCATCCTTCTCTTCCCATGCCCCATACCCATGCTCCATGCTCCATTCCCCATGTCGTGTCCCATGTCCTGTTCCCCATACCCATGCTCCAGGCCTCATGCGCCATGCCTCATGCCCCATGCCCCATTCCCCATGCCCGTGTCCCTCCCCTTGCTGCCCCCATGTTCTTCCGAGATTACCCCCATACGCAGCAATGCACAGCATCACCAACTCCTTCCTTCTTTCTCATGCCCTGTGCCCCGTGCCCCATGCCCCATGCCCCATGCCCCATGTGCTGTCCTCCCCTCTATCTCATCAGGACGTTCTCGAGTTCTCCGGCGAGTACCCCCTGGCAGGTGCAGCAGTGCACATCATCACCAACAGCATCCTTTTCCCCTGCTCCATGTCCCATCCTTCCCCATACTCCTCCCTCCCACCTACAGGACATTCTCGAATTCTTTGGCGAGTACCCTCTGGCAGACGCAGCAGTGCACATCATCACCAACAGCATCGGCCGTCTCACAGGGGAGGCCTTTGTGGAGTTTGGCTCCACAGACGAGGCGAGGGCGGCGCTGGGCAAGGACCGGGAGCGCATGGGCACGAGATACATCGAGCTCTATTTGTCGTCGCGGGATGAAGCGACAAGGATAGCCACGCGGGCGAGCACTCAGAGATGAGGGGGGAAGGAGGGAGGATGGGAAGGGTAGTGGGACAACGGGGGTGTTGCAAGGTACGGGCAGCTCTGAGCAAGGACCGCGAGTGCATGGGCACAAGATTCATAGAGCTGTATGTGTCGTCAAGGAATGAAGCGACATGGATTGCCACTAGGGTCAGCACTAGGGGTGAAAATATAAGGACAGCTCTAGGTTGAAGCATGCCAGTAGGGCTATTATTAGGGATTTGCGGCAAAAATTGTCACTAGGGCCAGCACTAGGGATGAAGCGACAAGGGACAGGACCCAGACACGAGGGGCAAGGAGTTGGCTGTGGGGACGGGGATTATTCCCCCCTATTAGTGTGTCCCTGCCACCATTCTCTGCTGTTAGTGTGTCTGGCAACATTCCCTGCTGTTGGTGTGTGGCCTGCCACTATTTTCTGCTGTTTGTGTATGACCTGCCACTATTCCTGCTGTTAGTGTTGGCCTGCCACTATTTCCTGCTGTTTTGTATGGCCTACCACTATTTCCTGTTAGTGTATGGCTTGCCATTATTTCCTGCTGTCAGTGTTTAGCCTGCCACTATTCCCTGCTGCTAGTGTATGGAGTGCCACTATTTTCTGCTGGTATGTGTTCCTGCCTTCATTCCCTGCTGTTAGCGTGTCCCCGCCACCGTTCCCCGCTGTCAGTGTGTCCCTGCCTCTGTCCCCGGTGTTAGTGTGTCCCTGCCTTTGTCCCCGGCTGTAAGTGTGTCTGTGCCTCCATTTCCTGCTGTTAGTGTGTTCCTGCCATCATTGTTCCCTGCTTTTAGTGTGTCCCTGCCTCCATTCCCTGCTGTTAATGTGTCCCTGTCTCCATTCTCTGCTGTTAGTGTGTCCCTGCCACCCTTCCCTGCTGTTAGTGTGTCCCCGCCATCATTCCCTGCATTTGATGGGCTCCTGACTTGCCAGCCCAACCACTCCCTGTTGTTGTGCCTAGCAGACCCCCTGCACCACCCCATCCCCTGTTGCTTACCTTGCCCCGTACCATACCTCCCACCTTATATACCTCATACCATACCACAACATTGTTCCTACCCTACTAAAAGTCCTAGGCATCATGGCCTGGCGAGAAATTTGGCGTCACAGAATGAACTAGCTATTGCTATGTCTAATCTTGTCACAGTGACTATGATTGCTATGTCTAATCTTGGTCACGCTTCGTCCATCTTCCCTTCCCTCTCTGTAGCTGCTCACATAAAAAAACATCAGGTGACATGCAACGGAATGAACTGAGAATGGATAATTGTTGGTCCAAAACGACGATACACAAGAAGAGTGTTCCTGCATGGCAAAGAGTGCAATGACGTGAATGAACAAAGAAGGAATGGCAACAGCAATGAGCTGCAAAATGCAGAGTGCGAGTGCCTCTGAGCACATGTGAGCAGGGGAGTAGGAGAGAAGGACATTTTTGAGACGTCTCAAAAACAACCTCGCTACACGTCTCAAAAGCGAGTGCCTCTGAGCACATGTGAGCAGGGGAGTAGGAGAGAAGGAAATCTACACGCTTACCGAAAGGACAAAGAACCATCTTCCTTGACTGTGTTTGTGCTGCTCTTCCAAGGATCTGTGCCAGCCTGTGCAGACCTGGGAAACAGGGTGGGAGGGAGACGCATGGGTGGGAGTGAGGAGAATTGGTGGGAGCGAGGAGCATCGGTGGGAGTGAGGAGCATCCGTGGGAGGAAGAAGCATGGGTGGGAGTAAGGAGCATGGATCAGAGGAGAAGGTCGACTCACAGGAAGGAGAAGCGTCGACTCACAGGAAGGAGAAGCGTCGACTCACAGGAAGGAGAAGCGTCGACTCACTCAAAGGAAAAGCGTTGACTTACTGAAACATGAGGGCGTTGGCTCACTGGAAGGACAAGTGCTGACCCACTGGAAGGACAAGTGCTGACCCATTGGAAGGAAAGAGAGTTGAATAACAGGAAGGCGAGGGCGATTGGTGACTGGAAGGTCAGGAGATTGACTTACAGGTGAAAAACGGAAAGGTGAGCCACTTGAGAAGCCACGGAGCTAGCAGTTGAAGTGCCACCCACAGATGCTGTCCCGTACTCCCTCCCTCCCCTCCCGCACTAGCGCTCGCTCTGCACCCGCCCCTGCTGGAGCAACTGGTGTTGCCAGTGTGCCACTCAGCTTCCTCTGCTGCATCATGAGTGGCCTGAGGGGAACGGGCAGGGCAGAGGGAATGGGGCAGAGTGGAGGGGAACGGGGGCAGGGCGGAGGGAATGGGGCAGGGCGGAGGGAATGGGGCAGAGTGGAGGGGAACGGGGGCAGGGCGGAGGGAATGGGGCAGGGCGGAGGGAATGAGGCGGGGGGGAGGGAAGGGGGCAGAGTGGAGGGAATGAGGCACAGCGGAAGGAATGGGGCAGGGCAAAACGGAATGGGGCAGGGCGGAGGGAATGGGGCAGAGCGGAGGGAAGGGCAGAAGGCGAGTGAGTGCAGGCCAAAAGACAGGCACGAGATATGTAAGAACATTAGCAAGAAAGACTTAACACAGAATGGAGGAAACTGAGGGGTGGGGGGGAGGAGGGAGGGACGGGGGGAAGGAGGCATACAGCAAAAACTGGAACTAGAGAGAAGGATGGGAAGTGGGAGGGGTGGAACTGAACTCGAAGCAAATGAGCACATGACAGCAAGGCATGGGAGGGGCGGAGAGCGGTGTTTTCAATGTAGAACTGGAAAAAGTGGCATACCTTGATAGGTCACGGCCAGCCCCATACTCTCCCTGGTACAAGCGCTGCCTCCCTGCAGTGAAAGGTCCCTCTGCTGTGGAAGGTCCCTCTGCTGTTCCACAAGCTCTCCAGATGGCGGGCAAAGCGAGCTCTCTTCTGCCCACTACGCTCTCGGTTGCTGCTGCTGCTGCTCCTTCTGCTGCCACAGTGAGTGGGAGGCAAGGAACAATTGGGGGAGGGGAGGAAATGTGGAGATAGACAGACAAGTGAGAGTGACGCGGAGGAGTGAATGGCATGCAGAGCATTGAAGGGGCGAGGCGAAGAGGATAAGAGGGGTAAATGACGGAAGGACATACCACATCACAAGTCTTCTCCCTCGACTCTGCTCCCTCTTGTCTGCTCTCTGTGCATAATCCGTGGCTTCTGAACATCTAAGACAGTGGCAGATCAACAACTCATACTGAGTTGAAGTGGCAAGAGAGCAGAATGCGAGTACAGGAACAGAGGGACAATGAAATAAAAGGGCGATGGAGACGATGGAATGAAAGGGCAAGGGAGATCTTACCAGGTCTGCTGAAGCAACCTCTTGTCCTCCTGTGTTTCCTCCTCCTCCTCTACTTCCTCTCCTCCTCCTCTGCTTCCTCTCCTCCTCCTCTGCTTCCTCTCCTCCTCCTCCTCTACTTCCTCCTCTCCTCCTCTGCTTCCTCTCCTTTCCCTCCACGTGGATTGTCCTCTGCTCCTTTGCTCCGCTGCTCTCTGTTCTTCATGCTAAAACAATCCTAGAGCTACAACTTACGAGCAAAGTGACACAGATCACAGCCTACAGCCTACAGCCTGCAGCCTAACAGCCTGCGAGATACATAGAGATACAGCCAGCAGCCTATAGCCAACAGCCTACAGCCTACAGACTACAGCCTACAGCCTACAGCCAACAGCCAACAGCCAACAGCCTAAAGCCTGCAAGAGTTACAGCAGATCAAGCTTATCTTGACAACTCACAAAGTTAACCTTTCTTCATTCTTTCCATTCTGCTAATTTTCATTGCTTGCTTGTTCATTATCCCTTTCTCCATGGATCAGGGTTAGGTGCTGCCCTGTAGTCAGAGTGGGGTTAGCGTACCTGTAGTAAGGCGCTGCCCTGTAGTCAGAGTGGGGTTAGCGTACCTGTAGTTAGGCGCTGCCCTGTAGTCAGAGTGGGGTTAGCGTACCTGTAGTTAGGCGCTGCCCTGTGGTCAGGGTGGGGTTAGCGTACCTGTAGTTAGGCGCTGCCCTGTGGTCAGGGTGGGGTTAGCGTACCTGTAGTTAGGTGCTGCCCAGTGGTCAGGGTGGGGTTAGCGTACCTGTAGTTAGGCGCTGCCCTGTAGTCAGAGTGGGGTTTCCCTGTGGTTATTGGGGGTGGGTCTTGGGCTAGAGAATTGGGTGGTTCGATGGGTGGGTGGGTGGATGGGTTAGTGGGTGGAAGGGAGGGGAGGGGGGGTTGGGAGGGGGACGGGGAGCGAAGGCAAGGAAGGCAGGCAGGGTGAAGTGCCACTTTGCATGTGCCATCACCCTCACCAGCAGCACCAGCGCGATCAGCACCATAGGACGGACCCGCCCCCACCATCGCACCATCCCACCCCCATTGAGTTTGCGTTGCTGGAATGAGATGGGTAAACGGAAGGAGATCAGTAAAAGGAGGGGGGGGAAGGAGCAGGAAGGGGAGGTAAAAGAGGAACGGAGTGGAAATGGAGCAAATGCAGGGATCAAGGGGACAACAGGAGTATTGAAGCAAAAAAATATGAATGCATGAATGTGAAACTAGTGCGCAAACCAGAGGCTGGATGGGCCACAGCTGTGTCGAGTTTCGCTCTTGAAGTGTTGGCTCCCGGAGTGTTGCTCATCAAGTGTTGCTCCTGAGTGTTTTACTCCTTTTGACCTGGAACCAGGGCATGGGCTGGTGAGAGGGAGAAAAAAGGATATGGAATGCAGAAAACTGGTCCAGGGATGGAAGAAACCAGTGAAAGAAAATTACAAGCGACAAATGAAGCAACGGCAGGCAAAACTGGAAGAATTCAAAAGTGAAGCCAAGGTGGAAGGATGCAATGGAAACAGAGAGGCGATGGTAGCCCATGGCACTAGGTTGGCGAGCTAGCAGGCAAGGGGGACGAGGTAAGAAGGAGACGCGGGCGTGAGTGTGAGTGCATTCTAGCCCCCTAGAACTCTAGTGTGAGCTCAAGCCGCCCTAGTGCCATGTGCTACCATCGCCACACGAACGTTTTTTATACCTTCATGCGAAGGCGGCGTTTTGGTTCGAAGCATGCTTGAAAAGAGAGCTG